TAAATAATGCTTTTCTTTATTTGTTTTCTCAAGATATACTAGACTGCCATCTGTACTGTTTCAAACATTTCGACCTAGCAAATTTCAAAATTCCTGCGTAGTTCTTGCATGCCTCGATATCGCTGCCTGGTTAGGTAGGAGGCCAGACAACATAACATTCCAGTTGTGTTTGGAAAGGGGAAAGCAGCAGGGAAAATCTTGAGTCTTGGCTATTTCATTTAGCGTTTTTTATTGAAAATTAGGTCGCTAGATGCTGGCTTCCATTGCTGATTTATTCTGTGAAATCTACAGAACGGAACTGTAGTTGTGGATATAGGACTTGTTTGCTTTTGAAGCTTAGGTAGGAGTTTATATCCAAATCTTATAGACCTCAGTCTGCAGTTGTATTAGTGCCGTGAAGTGGATACTCTAGTTAATTCTGGGAGCTGCTGTTGAGAAGGGCAGCCGTCAGTGGGAATCAAGGAAGGGCACATGTCATGAATGATATGTACTGTAGTAGTGGTAAGAGTCCAAACTTGTTCTACCTCACTTGTGTAGAACTTTACACTTAAGTGTTAAAGACAATTTACTGTGGAAAATGAAAAGCAAAAATGTCTTTTTTTTTTTTTAGACAGTTTACATCAATGATTTAAAAAAAATTTGATTCTCTGATTGGAGAAAATATTTCTTGGGTGGCCTCTCAGTAAAAAGCGTGAAGGAATTTGATGAAATATTATTGTTGTTGAAAATGTGCACAGTATATGTATGATATTGGACCTGTCTGAGACAAGTTTTATAGGAAACTGGTGTAAATCGATACAAAATTTGCCAAGAGCTTCATTATTTGCACCAGAATAGATGCCTATAGTGTCCTATTGTAATTGTTGTAACAAATTCAACATGTATTTAATGACATCCATATTTCAAGGGCTCATTTTCTCCCTGTTACCCCACACGCAGTTAGTGTACAATTACTTCACGATAAACATGTCATTTTAAGGGATGTTAAAGATTGTAAATTTGAATACAGTTCATATGGGTGAAATCTATCGACCTGGGAACTGAATGGCCATGTGTTTGCTCTGGCTCCCGATCACCTGTCCTCGGTGGAGAAAAAGTAAACAGCTAGATTATTTATGAGCATGGGGTACTTAACGGCAACTATTTAGTTATTTGCTCTGCTTTTACACTGAGCTAGATTATAGACTCGATCACCAGCTTCATGTTTCTGTTTCTGTCATGAATGCTTGTGTAGGGCTTGTGACAATGATACATTGAAATTTGGGATCTTTCAGTAAGTGTGACCCCACTTTTAACTGATCTTGATCTCATTTAAAAGAGTAAACTATTAAAAAAATTCCATTGGATTGGTCCTCTTATCAACATCTTGACTCTATATTATGTACTTTATGTGGATTGTTAGTAATTTGGGCTCGTTGTAATTGTTGTTATAATTATTTTAAATGAAAGGTAAAGAACCATTTACTCAAACAAGCAAATGTTTGTGGGGCAGGAAGCTAGACATGAAAAGGTGTAATAATGTCTTCTTTAATGACTGCACACTAGCATGATAAAACTTGTTACAAGCATTCTATATGTGAAATTCACTTGCGCCAATATAATTTGTGTATACTAAGTTAAGCTATCAACACCACAGATGCAAATTAGATGTTATTTATAGGTCATAAAAATTGCAATGGTTTTTAAGGTAGTCATAGTTCTGCATAATGTCTCAGGTTATAACTAATTCTCTCTAAGAAATGCTTGTTGGAATGTTGCAGAACTGATGAAAGGAATTGTTTGCTATGGATTTATCAGCTGATCCGGATTATGATATCTATCACTGATTTTATGATATCTTGGCAAATATTTTGTGGTGTTAATAGGACCTATTAGTACGTTGACTTGTATATATAAGATTTAACATAAGTATTGGATCTAAGTGTTTGCTACAGTTTCTTTCTTACAAGCAACTAGCTAATAACAGTCCTAGGACTGCTCTTGGGATTTGGATCATGTGAGAGAGAGCCAAGGAAATGAGATTTTTCAGATTCAACAGTATTGCTCATTGGTACTAAAGGTATGTTAAAAACATCAATAGCATAAACATTGCACAGTGTTAAGATTTCTGTAGAGTACAAACTGCAAAAATAGCATGCAGTGAAAAACTATTTTAGAAGGTTAAGGATATTGTCACCAGTTCATTCGTTGCAGAGTTAGAACCATGAGAGAGAGAGAGAGAGAGAGAGAGAGAGAGAGAGATGTATTTCATAGCATATGTGTACAGCCTTCAAGGGGGGTGTCTGACCCGGGCCAACATTTTGACAGTAAACAGGCAAAACAGAGGCTGCCCCGCTCCACCCACTTCTTACAATAATAGGTCAAATGAGACACCTTGCAGTACAAGAAATAGCTTATGTCACATATCAGGCAGGAGTAATTCTTTTATGTCAGCCGCAGCGCTACCTGAATGAAATATGAAAATATTGTCATATTGGATTAATTGTTGAGTAAAAAAGAAAAGAAAAGCTATGAAAACTTAAGCTGGGTATCAACAGAACTTCTATTCTGCACACAAAGGGGCGCAAGTGGCGGGTCATAGGATCTTTTGTGTGGCCACTCTGGTACAGTATGGCTGTGCCTTATAGATGTGAAGTTTTCATAAACACTTTCCATTAAACTGTCAATAAGATCAAAGGTGTCCCAATAGACAGTTCAGCTCACTGTGTCCTTTGGGCAGAAATGAGACTCACTGGGCTTTGGAAAGAAATAGGTGGGGAAAGTTGGGAGGGGGATACGATATGGTTGTGTAGTTGCTTTTTGAACTGAAAAAAATCTTTTTTGATAGCTGAGTTGAATTGTGTAGTTAAAGTCAGTACCTTATTTACTAAGGCTGCTTACTAAAAAATAATTGAGAAGTGCAGGGACTTCCACACTAGTACAATGTGATGTTTTTAATTGCTATTCCAAGCTTGGTCAACATTGATAATGGTAATAAATACCAAAGAATGAACAATAGAATTTAAGTAAAGGATAGATTTTCAGTAGCATTCTGGGCTCTTACTGGGAAACCAACAGCTAACTTTTTGCTCAATTTAGTAAATTGTTTACAGCCACTTGGCAATTTATGTTTCTTTACCATTCAGCCTTTAAAATCTCTTTTTTTTTTACTTCAACTTCTAAATGTACACATATACATGCCTGAGATCTGAGATAATAAGCATATGTTCAGTATATTGCCTTGTGTAAGATTGCAGTGTCTGTGTTTTTTAAAGATTCTTTAAATGTAGGATATGAAGTATAGTGTTGTGTAGGTAGATTTCCAATGCACCATCACTCTCATTTCAATTAGGGTTGCCCAATCTCATGAGTGCTTGTCTTTAAAACACCAGTAAATGGGTGACATTACATCTGAATCATTAACGTAAGACCACATTGTAGAATAAATACCTAAGCACCATGTAGGTAATGTGGGTGAGATAATTCTATTTTATCTCTTCCTTTTTTTTATGGGAGGAGAGCTGAAAAATAATGAAAAAATATTAAATGTGTAACCCTTCAGAATTTTTTTTCACACTTATGCATTGGCACTTAATTAAATACTTGTAAAAAACATAAAAAATATCCAAAAATGCAGTTCTTTCTGCATCAGAACTGCTAAATATCAAAGTAGCAAAATTGTACTAAGTGGTATTTTGTTGAGGCATTTACAGGTAACTAAACACCCTACCTCCAAGGAAACCTACAGAAGCAAACCAAGGTAATTTTTCAGAAATATGCAAGGCTCGAGTCAAATTATCTTTGCCAGAGTGGCCCACCAAAAAAGCACAAAAATGGTGGCAAGCGTACCATGCTCTTGGTGATCACTGAAATTCGGGATGCTAGTTCGAGGTAACTTTTCTGAGATAACCTCAAATTTTATTAAATATCTGTCTGTGGCTTGAATTACCTGCTTAGAGTCTGTCTTGAACGGGTTTACATGTTAAAAGCTGCCCTGGGAAGATGCTGTTTTTTATGCATTTCAGAGGTATACCTTGAGTTGGCTAGGTCTGGATCAATGTGTTAATCAGATGATGAGTAAGACCTGTGCTAAACAAATTAGGCAGCTTAGAGTGCATTCCCATAGATTTAGATCAATCCATCTAGATCGACCTAACTCCCTGGGGGTTCATGCTAAATTGCTGTCAGCCAAGCGCGCAGTTAATTACCCCCTTACAGCTTTTAGTAGGCGGGACAGACATTTAAGCTGGCTAAGTTGACAGTAATCTAGTGAGACTCCCCACAGGGATAGATCGAACTAAAATCTGTGGGAATGGGGTCTTAGAAAAGATATGTGCAGTTAGATTGTAAAGGTGTGTTATAAGTACTTGAATAATGAGCAGTGGGTTTCTCGAGTTATTTTTTTCAAAGAGAAAGTTGGAATACCAATTTTGTTTGGATCAAATTTTACGTTGGGAAGCTTATGGCTTGCATGTGGATAAAGTGTGCACTGGTGCAGCTTTAAAGGAAATTTTTAGTGAATTCATGTGGAACATTTGGTCCAATCACTGATGCAATATCTATTTCAGCTGTCAAAACAGCATAACATAACCATTTCTGGGAGAGGTTATTAATATTTGGAGGACATCTATGAATCAACTGAGCTGATTTGATTTAGAGAACATAGCTGACATGTGTCAGGTTGAGAGTTCATAAACATCCTGGTAAACAACTAATAAAAGTTGTAACTGTATCTTTTTATAGTAAGAATTCATTCGTTTTCTTGTTAATGCATTGTAACCTCATGGCCTTGATGCCAAAAAGCATTTTATTTTATTTTATTTTATTTTATTTTATTTTATTTTATTTTATTTTATTTTATTTTAACTTGAATTGATATCAATACATTTGCACACCTTTATGCATCATTTGGTACCATTTCATTAAGCATATAAATATATATGTAAATGTATATATTCTTGTATATAGGTATTAAGTATTGGTGGAAACCGCATATATATTCAATTCTCCTTGCATTTCAGGGTCTGAATGGCAATGAGCTTGACTCCCCAGAACCGCTCTTTTCTCCGTCATCGCCTGGACTCGAACAGCGTGAACAGCGTCGCCCTAGTATTTCTGGCAGCCTTGTAGACAGTCCCAAAATGGCATCCAGGCTGGCGCACAAGCCTAGCAAGAGTAATTCCCTGGGAAGCATAAACAGCGATATTTATGATTCTTCCCCAAACATGGACCAGGATGACATTATTGCCTTGACTCAAGATGTCAGGAGTTTTTCTGATGCATTAGCAAGATTAAAAAGTATATTTACTGAAGATGGTGAGCATATTTTTCTCTTTACTAAAGCAGTTTGCAACTATTTAAATTATTATTCACCACATATTCCTGTCTTTATGTGACCATTGCCTGTCGTGTCCATGTATTTTTAAGGTGGCCTTTGCATCTTTGCTATTAACTGTGTTTTAGAACTGTCATATCCATGCATATCATCACATATCATATACTTGGTGAGAAAGCTTTTGTTTCTGGGTGCTATGCATGTGAAACAACTCATAAAATTCTTTCATTCCAGTGGCGTAATAGTCAGTTATTTTTATCTCCAGACCAATATCTTCCAATCACCCTGTAGTGTAATATTGCAACACTCTTGCTATTGATATATGGGGCCAGCTTTAAGCTTCAACATAAGTTACAGTTGTTATGCAACATTTCACATTGTTGTGATTGCCTGGGTGTAAGCAACTTGTGGATTGCATGGGGTTAGTTCATTTGGAAGGTTATTAGGTTTTACCTGGCTATTAGGTTTTTAAGCTGATGTAGAAGAACCTGAAAAGATCCAGATTGATTATTAATATGTGTCCTGTCAACCACAACATGAGTGTAATTTAGGGAGATTATTTTGCCAGCGTGATCTTGGGATCAGTAGGAATAAATGTAGAAATTGCTGGTGGCAATGTGATTCATGTACAGTTCTGTGTATTTAGGTATATAAGGGTCACTCTAGTATGTTTTGCTGTGGTCAAATAACCTAATTTTCACCAATTTTAACAAACTGGTATAAAATGTTTTACACTATTTTTGTTAGAATTTGCTTATATAGTTTAGCAATGCAATCACCTCATGATTTTTTACAGTTAAGCAAAATGTCACTCTTTTCAGCTCAATGATGACTTAGTAATTATAACCATATATACTGGTGCCAGTATTTCCCAGCAAGTAAATTATAGTTTGCATTTGATGGAGGTTTTGTGCTGTCATAAGTCTTGTTCCAAATACATTGTGCATTTTCGGCTATGACTGCAGTTTTATTGAAATGTTATTACTAGTATTAATATATTCTTCTTTTATTGTAAGGCTTAAAAAATGATACAATGGTACATTTATCTACATGGGAGTGAGCAAGAGCAAAAGTAGGTGGGGTTGTCACCTCTAGATGTAAATACAGTGTCAAATGGGAGAGCTTATCTGCATTATCCAATAACCTCCAGCCTTGGGGAAATGTGTTACATTCCTGCTATCACCAGTGCCAGGACATCTTGCAATTAGTCATATAAAATCAATACATTCAGATTTGTCGCAGAATGTTTAGATAAATTAGCCAAGTTTGCATAAGCCATGCCTTGCAACATGAGTCATCTGGTATGATACCTCAAAATAACCCAGATAGAAATATTGGAAGTTTGGTGTTATTCTTTTTATCTGTCGACTCTTTTCCCTGTTATTGTGCTGTCTGAATTTTATCTGTAGCCAATCTGAAGAGAGGTACATAACCCAGGGCAGCTAAGATAGCTGTAAAATTTGTTGTCACCATCTCCAAGAGAAATGGGATATTCTTTCTGGCTTTATGACAATTACGCCACTGGTATGTGGATTCCATCGTTCTTTGATTTGTGTCAGATTCAGTCTGTTTGTATCTAATCCCACATTTTTATTTCTTTTTATTCTATTGTTTTTATTTCTCTTATGCTTCATGGTTGATAGGGTTGATATTGGAGATGGCCAGATGGAGAAGAAGTCTGACTGTGTTAGGTGGACCATGGTAGTTGAATAGTGTGTTTGGTGGAAAAAGTTTGTTGAAAGAAAAACTCATCACAGAAAATAATAACACAGTATCCGGAAAACACCCTCGATGTTATGAATTTTACCATAAGTAGAAAGAAAAGAGAAACAGTTGTCTTCATGGTCATCCATTTATTTTTTTAGATCCAGTAGAAAACCCACGTATTGTTGCTCATGAACACCTAGGTAAAGTGCTGTGTATTCTGAAGACCATCCTCCAGCAGTACCCAGCCCTTCACTCCACGGATATCCTCACTGCAGCAGGAACACTCATCTCAAGAATCAAGAGTAAGTAGCACATTATTCAAAGATCATTTTACAGTATTTTCCCTCTTCTTAAAACGTCTTCACCTCTTCATAGACTGAGTGAAAGTTAAAAAATTAAAAGGGTAGCACCTTATCTCAACACCCCTACTGTGAAATGGAAACGACAGTAATTGCAAAAAAAAAAAAAGAAGACCTTTACTTGTTTGTCTTTAAATACCTTAAAATCCCCACATTTGTCACCACTTTCTAAACATACCAAACCCTCTTTTTCACATGTAGACAAAGAACTTTGAAAGAAATCTGTCAGAAGCTGTCTACTACTATTATACCAGGAAATCAATCCCGATGTTTGCAGACCTTTTATTCATTTCCAAATAAAGCCTAAATGTGCTATTATTTGAAGCTTAATGCTGTGCCCCTAGGGTAGAACACTGGTGATATTTTGTGTGTGGTTTACCATCATGACTGGAGTGTAAATATATGGTAAATGAATCCAACAGCACTTTTATGGGGTATTGGTTTTAATGACCAAACTGAGATTTATAAGTATAAGTTTGGGTTGGAAAGAATGTTCTAAAGAATAGAGAAGTTACATTCCAAGAATAATGTGAACAAACAATACACTAAAATTGAAAGATCAGGCATATTAATGTGTATTATAACTCCTTCTTGCTTGAATACACCTATCTTCAATTTAAACAAAATGTGCAAATTTGAGTTGCATCCATGCACAAAGAGAAGTTCCAAGTACATTGTTGTTTTTACCAACATTTTTCTACATAATTGCCAACTATATATAGCCTTAAGTAATTACTTCAGTAATATAAAAATAGAAAGTAGACTTTGTGACCATGGAGTGCAGTCCGTTTTTCTTATATATCCCTGCTAATTTGCTTTGTGAGAACCTAGTTATAAATATGCTTTAGTTGTAGTTAAAAGTGTATATAAACAGTTGCAGCTTTTTTGTAAAAAATGGATTTTTGATTGATTTATGAATAAATGTATCAAAGTAAAACATGATAGTTGGAAGGTACTATATGCAAACTATATGTAGTTGTTTTTCCCAACCAGCATTAAAGTGCTTGATTCCAAAGTAGAGGTGATAAAGATAACATATAGTTAATATATACAGCTTATAATTAGGATGTTGACATTACAAGGAGGTTTTGAATTGTGGATATAAAGGTGGATATATGTATATCTGTCTATTATTTATTACTTAATTTGTACTGTCATTAAGATTGTTATTAGCAGGTGTATGTTTATAAATACATTCTTGTACATACTTGGAAAAAAACTGAGGAATTAAAAAAAAAAAAACGAAATAAAAAAATTTTATAGACATATAAAAAAGAAAAAAACTTATGTGACTGTGATATTTGGGTGCCCTTTGGCTACTGATTGTATTCATGATTCTATACAGAAATCCACTCTATACCCAGCACTCTATCTCTTAATAGCATTTTTTATTTTGCAATTAATCTTATGTTTATCTTATCAGTTTTTTTAACAACATGAGGAGTGTGCTAAATCCCAGTGATACAAAGAACATCTAAATGCAATCTACAGTCTATATTGTATAGTGATCTGAAAGTTTATCTTAACTTGTGGAGCTCGGAATTCCATCACTACTAGAATGTAAATGGATCCATTTATTTTGGACACAGCAATCTTTACTTTGATGAGGTAACATGTCTGACAACATAACATTTTGTTTGGAAGAAAACAGCAGATGATGTTGCTTTAACTTCTCTCCTGCAGGCTTCAAGTACGAGGATAAAGCTGCGGACCCTGCGCAGTTCTATGATGCCATTGACCAGGTAGCCCTGGCCTTCAGTAGCAGGTAAGAGGTGGAGTTCATGCTTAAAGGCTGTTTTCATAGGAATATGTTTTATGAACCTTGGAAGGGGGGAAAGAAGAGAAAGTCTCTGAAGCATTAGAAAAATGCATTAGAATTGTGTGCCACTCGCGCTGTTGTACTATTGCTATTTTTACAAGCTGTCTCTTTAAAGAAAGATAAGCAGCAATAAAAATTGGTAAAAGAAAAAAGTGGCAATAGTTTTTGACTTGTTACGGATAGAAATTTAAAACCTAAAATAGCACTTAGCCAGTGGGCAAATTTGCTTCACAGCTGTTCAATTTCTGTAAAACATAACATACTGGGAACATCTGTAACAAGGGGTTCAGGGGCAGTAGCACCAACAAGAACTAATTAACCAGGAAATAAGGTACAGGGGACGTGAAAGCTGAGATATTAGGCGCTCTCAAACTGTTTTGTTTAAATGGCAATGTTATTATAGAGCCTCCCAAATGTTGCCCTGTAGAACAGAGTTGGGACGTAATTCCGAGATCAAATGATGTTTGGATGCTCGCTAGCACGTATCACATGCAACGAGATAAAGCCGGTCCAAACATTGAAGTGGCTGGGGGTGGAATTGATATTTTTGGAATAAAATCTTGTCTGTTCCTGTCTTCTCCCTAGGTCATCTCTAAAGAACTGGCATCACCAGTTTATTGCATGCTAATTGGACCTTTCTCTTAAAAAATGTCTGTTTTATTCATTTAGAGGTTTTTGAGAAGGATCTGTTTCAGGAAAATTTATAAACATTTTCAGGAATTTTAATTGGCATCCACTGGCTTGAAATATTGTTTTACACTAACATTGGAATCTCTTAAAAATCTCTACTTTGTTTTATGTCCCTGATAAAGAAGACTACCAGAAATAACTAAATTGCTGCTCCACAGGAGACATGACCTATCAGTAGTTAGAGACCATGTCTTCAGAGTTAAGGCAGGGTAATCTATTGAGGCGAGACATTAATACAAGGAAATACAAGCAGAGGTAGTCTGCCAAAGCTATTATTAGCATTATGGTTTGATTCAAAAGCAACACATCTGTGGCAGAACTGTCTATTTGGCAATAGATGGACATTTGTGTACTTGAGCCTGTGTAAGAGGTTCCTGTATTCCTGAAGCAGTGTTGTGTTGGAGCAGCTGGCCGCAGTGGGAGCCAGTTAGTTGAAGTGTATGTGGGAAACCAGTGCAGGGGGATGTTGGGTATTGTTCTAGCTGGCGGAAGGATTGGCACCAATCGCAACCACTCACAGCATCAGAGGACGCCATAATCTTGTCAGGGGCAGGACAGCTTTGATTTAGGAAGCATTTGCCGTTTGTTGCTTGACTGAATGATGTGGAACAGATTTGTTGAATTTTGTGTCTTGGTTTTATAAGAGATTTTTTGTGCCAGTATTGTCAGTGCTGTGTAGTGAAACATCGTGGTCATCATGTTGTCAGTGGAGAGTAACACCAGTGCAGTACAGAGAAGGCGTAAGAATCTGTTGAATCTACGGCTCTTTAGAAGGTAGGAAAAACTGAATCATAGTGACATGTTTAAAAAGAACAGAAATCATAAATATGAGGGGAAAAATGAAATTGGTTATTTTATGTGTATGATACTTGTTGACTAGTTAACATGTACATGAAGATTTTCATTCAGAAATCAACTGGTGGGTACTGGGGTGCTTTGACAGCTGGGTGATATCTGGTGAAAATGCCACATAACCAAACAAAACTATAAAGGCACAGAATAACAAACATCTTTATATAACCCCATATACTTTCTGCCTCTTCTAGGAGCTGCTAAAAGTGAAGTTGAGATAAAGGCATTGGTGAATTTCATACTATTGATAAATTTATGTTAAGATTTGGTACAAATTGTTTTTTTAACAGTGCAGTTATTATAAAAGTGCATTGGATATTAAGAAAGGTCTTAAATGAATTTCTTGCGGCTTGACAGCTGTATGGTGACTGTGACTGGCCATAGTTGTAGTCATGATTAATTCATTGTCACCATGGTCATTGGCAGTCTGTATTTTTCTTGTCACCAAGATTAAGATACGCAAGTTGTGGTTCATGCTCTTGTACTCCTGATCAGTGAAGAGTACAGACCTCATGAGTATTGTTAAACTGAAATGTCAGGATCAGCAGCTGTATGACTTAGCATATATTTTGATGTATTTTTAGACTGTCAGTTTCCTTTGTTTTCAAAATGTTCTTTCCTGTTCAGAACACTATGAAAACAATTGTTGGCATTAAACCATGTGGCCTTTCCATCCGGAAAAAATAAGTCAGTTAAAATTGACCTGGAGTTTTGCATTATTTAGAAAATGTTGATGATAGCTGCTTATATAATGTTTTTTTTTTTTTGAAGGAACATGTTAATCTTGTTATGTGTTACCATCATAGGTGCCATTTTTTACTTTGGTTTTCATCTTTTCCATTGTGTATTTCATGTTTTGGTAATATTTTAACATATAATCAATGATCATAAAGATTTTAACTAGATTTGAACTGGACTTCATATCTGACATAATTGAATTTTTTAAACTGTAAGTTTGTTCTCAATTTCAGTGTATCAGAGTATTTAATGGGAGATGTGGAGGCAGCCTACCCAACCCATACCACAAAAACCAGAGTAAGTGGCTCACATAGTTCTGGGCACAATCTTTGTTTTTCTAGTAAACAAGAGGAATGAATTAGCATGAAACAAAGGTTAAAATTATGCCCATGTAATGGTTATTTTTATTTTGATTACTTATTTTAACTTCTTGGTGTGTTCGTGTGTGTGTGTGTGTATGCGTGCGTGCTACTTATAATGTTTACAAGCTATGCTTTGCTTTACATATCTGCTGATTCACTTAGTGTATTAATAACACAGTAATTGGAACTCTAAAAGTTCAGAAAAAAAACTTATCTGTATTCATGCAAACATCTTAGATATTTTAACTTCTTAGTGAGTGTATTTGTAATAGGGAGAGGCAAGGAAACTACTGTATTTACCTCTTCATAGGATTTATTTCCTTTCAACTTGACCGAAATGACCACCTAGACCATGAACTAGTCTGCTGACCAGCTGAAAAATTACTTAATTGTTTTATGACCTGGTGAAGTGACTGTAGAGTGGGATACTTTTTTTTTACAGTTCTGTGAAAAATTGGGCCTGCTTCAAGTTTTTTTTTTTTTTTTTTGAATCGTAATTTACTTAAATTTAATTTCTTAATTAAAGACCTTTAATGCATGCCTATGTAGTTATTCACTTTGAATGCATGAGTACAAAAATGTGCAAACAAGAAGAGTGGGTGGTGCATTTTTAAACTAGGGAATTACAAAGATAACATTAAAGTTGGATATTTATTAGAAGTGAATTTTTTTTCATTGTTCTCCGAGTTTGTTGAAAGTTCTGCCACAGTGTCAAGATCTGCTAAGAGTGCCTTGCTTATTCTCAGCTGCACTGGAATGTAGAGATCATCATGGGGCAATGGTTTTAACTCTTGTGCATGAACAGTTTTAAGAGAAGACCTTTTTTGTAGGACAAAGTCATACTGCTAACATTTTCACTGTGCCTAGCCCCTCATCAACACAGAGAGAGAGAGAGAGAGAGAGAGAGAGAAAGAGAGAGAGAGAGAGAGAGAGAGAGAGAGAGACTAGTAGTTTAAATCACAGGGAAAGCTTTACCTGAGGATACCTGATATCACGATTTCACATTTATGCTTATGGTATCTTTGGCATGGTTAGGTATATCAACACTGTACGTGCATTTAGATAATGCCATTAATGTATAATGGACATACTTATTTCAGGCCCTGGGTAATGTCTCCATATTATTGCTGTAATTAGGTATAGAAAATGTCATGCACGCTGCATAAAAGATGCACTTCGAAATGGATAATGCTTCTTTTTATTTGTTGTCATAACATTTTCAAGGAATCATGGGGTTGTGGATTATTAATGTGATTATGAATGTCTGAACCTGATGGGAGGATTTGCAGTTGGTTATGTAAGAAAGAAATCATATCTGAGCACTGCAAATTTTGTATACTTGTAAGACCTTTGAAGATACCAGATTCAAAATTAATTTTCTAGCCTTTACTAATGTAAAATGTTTTTTGCCTTACAAAATGGTTAGAATTTTGCTAAATGGTTGAAATGGTGTACAAATTAACTATAAGTGAAAATTTTTTACCAAGTGATGATTTATTTGTGGTACTCAGTTTAAAATTTGTCTAAAAATAGAAACCTGACCCTGGCTTTAATAGCTATAATAAATGATTTTTTTGGATACTACTATCTGACTGACTTTAGATCCTTCTGAAGCATTTCTACACACTTTGCCCACTGTGACCTGAAGTATCATATGTTAAAGCCATTGTTGACTTATCCTTGTCTTAAAGAAAACCCATCAGTTATGAAAAAAGTTTAATTGCTCAGCAGTCACAAAAGTGAGTCTTACTGGTGCAATATAAAAAACTCATTTAAAAGTAAAAATTGATATACGTTTTTTTTTGAAAGATACATTAAACCAAGGTTTTTATCATTATTTTGCCAGATGTACATCAAAACATCTACAGTGAGATCAAAAATTTAATCCCAGTGTGGCAGGTAAAATATCTTAATTTTGAATTCTTTCAAATTTCAGTCCTTTGATAATTTGTCTTCCATGAACGTGGAGCTAGGCAGTCAAGAGGATGTGGATGGCAGGGATGATGGTAAGTATACAAGTCAACTGAACATTGGAACACCTAACACATTATCATAGCAAACTCAGTGTCACACCCATAGCAATGTCACACCTTACACATTATTATAGCAAGCTCAATGTCACATCTTACACATTATTATAGCAAACTCAATGTCACACCTAACACATTATCATAGCAAACTCAGTGTCACACCCATAGCAATGTTACACCTTCTACTCTATCAGGTCAGAAACGGTGCAGTACCTATTTCTAAACTAGACTTTTTACAGAAAGGCCTCACCAATGCTGGATAAGTGATAATGATCAGACAAACTACACCAAAGAGACCTGCTCTAAAACATGTAATTTAAAATCAACAGTTCTCTTCTTGATGTGAGTCTTAAGTGGAACATTCACATCTAACACACTAGTTTCTCCTGTTTACTCCCTGGTGTGATTCTGCTAAGAACTTATCATGGTAGAGATCTTTCAATGCAGTTCTACTCCAGAGTAGCAGCTGTTTATGTGTACCATTCAGCACTCTTTTTACCTGTCTCTTAGTATTAAGGTATGAATGGAGCTTTAATTGTAGATCACGATATCCCCCCCCCCCATGTCCGTGGATGAAAAAAAATGGTTAAAATGTCCAAATGTGAAGCCTTTAGTGGGATTTACCTTTGATCTTACTGGATGTGATGTGTTAGGGCCATCTACCTGGAGAGCTCTCTGCCTCCCAGACACTTAATATCTTCTCTATTTCATGTTTCCAAGTTTAACCTATTTTATTTCCTTTCGAAAATGTTCTTTCTGGTGTGAACCTAATTCTCCTTTTTTTTTTTTAGTTAGTTGGGCACGTTTTCAGTAATATGATGAATTAGTTTGGTTTGAAATTTGCGAGCGAATACCGTAACAGTGAAGAATGTCAGCCATGCTGGCATTGGGGCCTGCCCCAGGACATAGGTATTAGCCAGAGTGAGTCTGTACAGTGTTAGTGTAGGTAACAACTATGTAAAGCATGGGATTTGGATTGCATCTTTTTCGTCCTACACTGGTGTTGAGGGGAAGGATGATAGGCAAGGCAGAAAAACAGTGGTCAATTTGGAAATACAGGATTACCAGCGATGTATATTTTGTTATTGGTTATTGATCATGACAGCTAGTGAATTGATGGATGAAGGTTTCAAGTTCCCTCTCATTTCTTGATGCTGGATATCAGTTTTTTGGAGATATCTGCAGTGAGATGGGTTTAATATAAGCTTTGGTTTTGATAGCTATGGCTGGAAAATCATAAACACTTGGAAGTAATTAGTTCTGAGGATGTTGCTGCAACATTGTTGATATAAATACCCAGCCCTGGCAGTATATATTGTTAGTGATAACTCTCTGTGTGACGTCAGGGATCTGCCTGGCCAACACTTCACGGTAGCTCAGTAGTCAAGTTATAATGTCAACAACAGCACAGGAGTTGAAGGGCTTTGCCCGTCGGATGAAGGTATCTGTGATGCGGCACAACGAGAGAATCAAGCGCAGCAGTCTCGTGCCGGTGTACATTCCGCACTCATGGAGCGTTATGCCTTCGGGTCTTGCTGTAGCAACCAGCTGTAAAGTTGTGTGTTCTGCTCCTGCCACAAATCACAGTACGTGGGACAGTTTTGATTGCTTACCGCATAGGATTTTTCAGTAAATCTGGATCACTCTTCTTTGTCTTGATGGAGGCTTTAACAGGTTAATTTGTTTTTCACCACACACAAAATGATCATCCAAGTCAGTTATTGACATTTCAAGACATGCTCACATAATTATATCTTTTTTTTTTTTTTCTCAGGTCAGCTTGGTCCATCAGAGCTGGATGCTATCCTCCTGCGGCTGGAGTCTGGTGTGGAGCTGGCACTGCAGAGAGCCAAGGCTTGGTCCAAGTATGCAAAAGATATTATGACATATGTGGAGAAGAAATCAACTTTAGGTAAGGAAACTTCTAGGTGACAGCATGGTAGAAAAGATGGCATATTCACGTCCTTTTTTTCAGGAAGGATTTGATAATTAAGACTTGGGCAGTATTTAGACTTGCTTTGAATAAGAAATGTTGTGAGTCTAAAATCAATTGCAAGAAAACCAAAAGATAAGCAGGCATTGAAAAGTCTGAAATACACCAGTATCAATGTGTTGAGGCCATGATTTCAGAATTTTAAGGGGGTGTTAACTTGAAACCAGCCATATCAGTGCCTAAGCTACAGATCTGTAAGCTAGAATTGTATCAAGTTTGGAGCGCAAGTGTAACAGCAGACTTCTGAAGAGCATTCCTAACTTTTGTATATTCTACTTATAAACAACAAGAAGAGTTTACATTCTAATGTTAGCAGCCCTGGATTAACTGTTCTGCTACTGAATAACATTGTCCCCAGGTATTTAAACAACTTTGCAATCAATCATGGTAGATGTTGATATATTTAATGGTGAAAAAAGGGCTAAATGTGTATGTAAATACACGTAGTTGTCACAGCCAGCCAGAAAATTAAAATATAAGAAATTATACACATACAGAGAAAATGTATCAGATTTCAACTCTGTTTGCTTGTACTTCATATTTATATCTGTACCTTTCAGAATCTGAATATGCGCGGAATTTGTCAAAGATCGCTCAGACTATGCGGCCAGTTATCACAGAGGAGGTGAGTGTAAGGGACCATTCCCACAGATATTTGGATCGATCTATCTCCCTTGGGAGTCTCACTAAGTTGTTATCAAACTAACCGTCTGAAACATCTGTCACGCCTAGTAAAACTGTTAGAGGGTAATTATCTTTACCCCTAGCTAATTCAGTAGCCGTGACAGACATTTAAGCCTCTTGAGCTGATAGCAATTTAGCGTGAACCCCCAGGGAGTTAGGTCGATCCACATGGATTGATCTAAGTATGGGAACCCAGTCTTAGAACACACGGCACTGGCTGCACTGGAGCTGTATAGACTTGATCTTTAAGTGAAAAGGTTTCACTGTGAGGCCCACATATCATAGGTGTTATTTAGGATGCGAGGCACTATATTCCTTACATTTTTCTCTGTGAGGTTCACAGTTTGCTTGCCCCAGCAATTCTGTGTTTAGTACATGAAAATATTTTAATGAAAGTAAATATCAACCCTAGAGTTGGAATGCCTGTTACTATCAAAAAGGCCAGGGTTGTCTTTTCCAAGAAAAAAACTAGCCGTTTCTGTGAAGATGGTGTACAAACATGGGAAGGATAGGAGATGTATTAGATAACAGTGTGTACTTTTACGTTCAAAATATTTCAGAGTATCAACATATTCACAACAGTCTAACACATTCATAGTTGCCAACCTCAAGCAAATTCTTTGTAGTTTTAGTTTTGATTCCCTTTGTTTTCAGTTGTAAGTCTTTGCCTGGATAAAATTTGGTAGATTGAAAGGTTGGTAAACCTTGGCCTGCATATTTCTTTGTAACTTTGCATTACAATTGTATACATATGTATTTATTGACCTTAGGTTGTTGAATGTGTGTGTATGCGTGTATGTGTGTGTGTGTGTACGCATGCATTTGCATGCATATGTGTGTGTGTTCAGTGGGGTCCCAGGAGAAGGCTCATATCTATCAACATATTAAACTCTTGAAATACTTCACTAAGCTTATGCCAACACATAATAAATAACTGTAATGAATAACATTGGTCAACTCTGGTTCATCAATTTACCAGTGATGTATTTGGTGAAGATGTAAAAAAATTCCTACAATTACAAATATTACCACTGCTAGGTTTGAATGAAATTGTTAGCCATATTTTCCAAAACGGTGGTTTGATAGTTAGTTACGCTGATTTGAAATCATAGAAAGGAGAGTTAAGTGTACCAAGAATCATCTGCTTTTTGAAAAAAACATCAGTTTGCCTAGTTTTATGTTGCACAAATGAGTTCAAAAGTGACATGCTACCCCCATCTATTTACTTTTATCCCTGTAAGTGGCATGTCAGTGCCTTCTTTAAGTACCATCAATGTTTGCCCAGCACAGGTGTTAGAACTGTTGAAGATTGCAATGAGATCAAAAAAAGTGATGAAAACCTCATTCTGTAATTGATCCATTTCTTTTGATTTCAGAGCTTTCTGCCCTTTCAATCTGCNTATATATATTACAATTACAAATTTATTTCAAAAATGGCTCATGGTAGACAGAAAATGTCTGTATATAAGTGCATATAAACTGCCAAAGTGATAGTTTTGCTACACCCAAGGTCCCTGCACATACATAGGTTGGTGTACACTCACACACAAACACTTTGTTTTCAAAAATTGGATCAGCTCTAGCTAGAAAATTGTTTTTAAAGTAAATGGTAAGTGCATCTGATAATCTCTTCAATATTACGTCATTGAGCAGAATGAAAAATGTTTACAGATCTCTTGTTTACCAGTGAAAATAGTTTTTTCGCCTTCACTAGTGTTGATGTTTAAAAACAAACTGAAAACCATCCATCCCACATGGCATTTTCTTGGGCTTTGTAGATTCTTCAAATTCCTATTGAAATAGACCTGCCTGTTTTATAAAAACATTTTATCTATGCTCGCTAACTTGTGTACCACATCTCTGTCCATTTATTTGTTCCTAAAACCTCAGAACTGAAAGATTTAGGACTACTAATAAATCCTAAATGTGGAAATGATCAATATGTGTAACGTGAAACATCCTGTGTAAACTTACCACATTTAGAATGTACCAGAGGAAAAAAATTCTCAGATTCGCAAAATCTTTATAGTCATCTTTCATCCTGTGTAAAAGATTGTTTAAAGTTTTAGAGAAACCAGGCATCTTAATGTGCACATCATGCCTCAGTGGCTATTTTTAGCCGGGATCAAAGTGTGTGTTTTGTTGGGATGCAAGTGAGTGGGTCTGAGTGCAGGACAGAGGAACAGCGCCACCTCGCCACTGCAAGTGGGTGGGAAAAGATCAGAGGCTCGCAACTGGTACATTTTTGGCAACATGACTTTTAGAAAAGGTGGCTTTTATACTTAAGTCAACATTTCCAAATCCTGTGTGGAATATGAAGAAAGAATGCGAACTTGTGATTTACATTTTGTGTGTGTGTGTGTGTGTGTGTGCGTGTGCGTGTGCGTGCCCAAGGTACTCCTCCCCTCTTTTTATCCTCGTCACTCTGACCCCCCCCCCACTCTCCCCACCATCACGATCACCACAGGCATATTATGATGATTCAGCTTGCAAGTGATAAACGTTGGAGTAATAATATTATGATTTAAGCTGATTCTCTTCAAATATCATCCCCTAAATACCATTGGGTGCAAATTAGTTTATTTTTAATAACTCAAAGCGATAGACTGCTGGCCAATTACAGCATATGTCAAAGATTCAAGTCTCATCAAAATGTGATCAGTCTGTCAGTCCCGAAATACATTTGGTGAATAAAAATTTTAGAAATTTCCTCAGTCTATCAGCCATTTCAGATGATGTGTATTGGCCTTTCTCTTAAGAGTGTTGCATCACTAAACCCTGCCTCATTTCTTGTCCATGTCAACTTGACTTTCCTTGAGATTATCATGGTGTAGGATCAAATTATCATCACGAAACTCACATTGGCATTTGGGTACATTTGCAATACAAGATGCACTTGGTGTGGTATAGGCGGTGTCCCGAAAGACATTTACTTGACCTGACTTGAATTTTAACCCGTCTGTAGCGTTCTCCCACTGTCGTGATTTATCAGCTTAAGTGACTGGATTAATGGCCCATATGTGGTGATCCGGTGTAAAAATGGGATTTTGTTGCGGAAATAACATATTTTGTCTTATTTCTGTATTTTCAGGACATTGAGTATGCCAATAACTACCAGGCAACATGTACTCTTATACAGACTCAGAAGTTTATAGAGGTATGGTGCTGCTTGACCTTATGATGATCATTGCAAAAGAGAGAGAGAGAGAGAGGAAAAAATGATTGAATGCAAAATGAAATAAAGTGAATGAAATAGGTAGCAGATACACTATAGAGAATACTTTGAACACTAGATTTTCAAAGTATATTCTATAGTGACACTATAGAATATACTTTGAACATCTCGACTATTAAGGTTACATGTACATGTCCTGATTTGAAGTTTAATTCTCTTTGCATATTAAATGTTTAAGAGATTTTGGTGTGAAAAATGTGTCTTTGACCAATTTTCTTGGGAGTCCTTAGTAAAAATGCACGTATTTAATTTTAGTAATATTTCGATTAAAATGTTATTTTTGAAATGAATATAAAGTACATTGAGAAGTAAGCAGTAGCTATGTACAAAAGAGGATTTTAAAATCTAAAGAAAAAAATTTTAAAAACAAAAAAGTCCCATTGCTTTCTAAAAGACACATGTTCATGTCCTTTTTTTTATATACTGATGTATTTATTTCTACATTATTATTGTTTTACTTGATAAAACCATCAGAGACATCGGGTTTTGATAAGAGAATTGATCCCTAGCAGTGGAAGTAACAAAGCGACAACATAAAACAAATTAAATGTGGAACCTTTATCATTTTCCTTACTGCAATGTGAACTTCTTTTGCTCTAGATATCAAAGTTAAAGGAGCTGGCTAGTATGAAGGTGATAGAGACAAATGAATTACTGTGCATTATGTTTAATACCTTATTAGATGTGAGCCTAGAACTAAAACTACTTTCTTTTACATTTATTTAGAAATGTTGTTTTTCCAAGAGGGTGATTGTTCATGGAAAAGATAGAAGCAAAATAAATTTACAAAAATAACAAGAACTTACAATAATTTATTTTGTGTGTATTTGTTTGATTAATATTCTTTAAAAAGAAATAGTGAAAGAAGAATTAGTTTTAATACCAAATGCATTCACACATGAAGTGAAGCTCAAGATGTAAGTTTTCTTTGCCTTATTTAAAAGGTCAGTTATGGTAAGAACTATGAGGGAAAGACCCTCTTGCTGTCATTCTTAGACTCTATAGACTCCTCTTTTTAGTAAATAGCTGTTTTGCGGTTTTACAAGTATAGATGTGGCTTCTAAACCAAGCTTAATTGCTTTCAGAAATTATTACATGAATGTTAAAGAGATGAAAAGATATAAATGAGGTTGTTGGATAGCATCTCTGTTCAGTGGGGATTTGCAGAAAAAAAATTAATAATAACTGAAACTGTTTTTAAATTCTGAATAGATTGTTTAGGAACATTTTATTCAGTTGTTCTTTTCCTCCAGATAGTTTTAGCAGAATGTGGTGTATCCTTTAAACTGATGTCCATTCCAGACAATGATAACATTCTTATAGAGATGAATGTGTCAAAACTATGTTCATGTCAATGGTTTTGTGATATGCTTTTAAAATTTTCAACTGTTATTGTTTTTCTAGCCACTAAATGCCAGAAGACTAGAGCATGACCGAGTGAGGAAAGGTATCAAAGAACAATGGGCCAAGGAGATAAAGAAAATGGTAAGAGAGAGAGAGAGAGGGGGGGAGGTAAGACAGAAAGAGAGAGAGGGAGAGAGGATTATTTTCAGGCCCGTAGCTAGCAATTTCAAAAGGGGGGTTCTTTTTCTGAAAGGGTGGACCTTTTCCCATAAAAACTTCATGTACCTAGATCAAATTTTACCCAGAGTGGACCTTTTCCCAGCAAAAGGGGCGGTTCTTTCGAACCCCCCGAACCTCGCCTGACTACAGGCCTGTTCATTGTGTGTTACCTTCCTAATTCATATTGTTAAATTATTCCAAGCTCATGGCTAAGCGATGCTTATTCATCACCTATTGCTTAATTTTCACTTTCAGCAAGATGCAATAAGTAATTTACGGAAGGCCCGCTCACAGTACATTGCTAGACAACAGGAATATGAAAAAGCCAAAGAAGCTTCACAGAAAGCTGAGACAGACACACTGCAGACCAGTGGGGGCTTGGGAGGGTCAGCCAAAGTGGACAAGAAAAAGAAAGTAGAAGAAGATGCTATGATCAAGGTAAAACATATTTATGTCTCCTCAATAACCCAAGCGGAAGAATAAGTAAAGGACAAATACAAAAATAGTATTCGACCTTTTAAGACTGTTGCACGAAATACATGTTAGATCATACTTATGATATACTAGCACACCTCAAATTACCTGCAAATGTCACCTCCGTCCTTCCACACAACACACATCATGATGCATACAAATGACAAAACAAATATAAGATATGGAAGGTTTCATTTGGCCAATCAAGGATACTCTGAAAAAATGCAAACCCCTCATGATTGTTCACTTTTTAATTTTTGTGTTTATCTGTTGTGCAAGGCAGAGTAATCAGTTCACATATTTTGTAGTAGTTAACAACCAGTTGATATGAGGCAACATTGATTCTTGCATTAGAGATCAAATACGTAATCAAGTTCATGTTACTGTCCCATTTTTACAGTCAGATTGCATTATTGGATTTTTTTGGAGGACACATTGTTCATGTATAGGTTGTCAGGTGATTTGTATACGTAGCTAACATCCCATTTCCATAGATTTTTAGATCGATCTATCCCTGTGGGGAGTCGCACTAGATTACTGTCAGCTTGGCTGGCTTAAGCGTCTGTCCTGCCTACTAAAAGCTGTAAGGGGGTAATTAACTATGGTGCCCGCTCGGCTGACTGCAATTTAGCGTGAACCCCCAGGGAGTTAGGTCGATCTAAAACTTAATCTTTAGATCGATCTAAATCTCTGGGAAAGCACCCTTACAATAAGACTCCGCCCAAAAGCTCAATTTGCACACCTGGTGAAGACTTCTGTCTCCACTGAGAGCAAGCCTAATATAACAATTATTGCAAGTTGTCATTTGCATGTGGTTATTTGGTGCACCTTGAGAATATCACAGTATGTGAAGTGTCACAATAGGTAATATTCCAGCTTAATTATAGTCTAAGGTGGCGCTGTGACTGAGGCAAAGCTAAAATTATGAAGGAAGTTGTATTTAAGTTTTGATTTACTGCATATGTGGGATATGGGCTAAAACATGCCCTGTGAAGTACTAACTTGTAAGTAAGCTGCTGTATATTATAAGTGGCCAATGAGGGGCTAGGTTCCGAAAAACAGGAAGTCAACACATCACTGAAAACACAAGTTTTCAGTTATGGCTAGGTTGAGTTATACCTTGCCCGCTGCTTCTAATTAATGTACTGGTTAGAAATTGTAAGGATCAAGACCTTAGAGTTGTAACATGATTATAGTTTTATCCGGGTTGCTGCTAAGTATTGTATATTGACTTCTGACATTACAAAGCATGGTTAAATATAAGTTTGATAGTGTCAGCCACAAGGAAATACATTGATTTAATATGACATTTGCAGCATCTCGATTTCGGGTAGCACTTGAACTGGATGGAAGTCCTGGATTTCAGTTGCAATGCTATTATATTCCATGGGTCACATTTGTTCTTCATTATAGGAAAACAGAAAGACTTTGTGTATATGTCACTTCAATGTGCGTACAGTATGCCAGCCTGTGCTCATATTTGTGTATGATTTAGTAACTGACATATATTTACTCACAGTGAACCTCCTGGTTCAAGAGCCCTTCATAATCCGTGCTAATGTTGCTTAGTGACTTGTATACTATGGGGCAGCATAAGCTTAACTTAACATGTACTATCTAGGCATACTGTGTGATTCATTTTAACCACATGAAGACAATCTGCCTACATGTGAGAGGGACACGGGAGGGATTAGATTGGCTTGAAGGTTAAAATTGTAATTACACAGTCTACTGAGATGGTAAGCATAAAGCTAAGTGGTCATAGCTTGACTGAAAATGTGGTCCTTGATATAAGTTGACAACTGGGAATTAGTCATGACATTTGAGATAGTGAAAAATAAGATGTATTTTAAAAAAATCAGAATTGCAAGAAGAAATGCAAATGTTTCTCTTCTGGTGTCCAAAATAAGACAAATACCCAATATTGTTTCTTTAAAAAAAAAACTCCAAAAATGTTTTTCAAAGAGAAAAAGACAGTTTGTGAAGTTTATGACAGCCCAGATATTATAACTGTTTTCTCTCAGTTCTTAACAAAATGTATTCAAATGAGCACTTACGATATTTGTTCATTGTTTCATAACAGGATGGAATTTGAATTTTATATAAGAAATTGGAACTGGCTATAGTCCAGTCCATTTGGTCACCCGGGCAGACAGTGTATGGGTCACCTGTGCTGGTGTGGAGAGTAGTTAATATAAATGTGAATGTTCAGGAAGTCAGGAGTCCTAATTAGATGTAAGGTCCAGACTGTCCCATGGGGACATGTTCCAGTCAGTATCTGCAGATATACTCTGTAGCTAATGCACCTACTGACCTATAAGGAAGATAATTGTTACATTAGGTCAGTCTGGAAAATAACTGACCTCTCTGCATAAAGTGGTCTTTAATTTGAACAGTATTAATCTCTGTATTTATCTGCAACTGACCTTTTCAATTCTCTCTAATTGCCACATAGAGCTAGCTAGGGGTCAGTTAAAATGACAAGTGACCACCTATTATGGTGACAATATGATGTCCAGTTACATTGTTCATAGGTATATTCAGAATAGGATGTCTGCCACTTTCTCTCTATATCGATATCCTACCCCCTTTTCTTTGATGCAGTACTCCTTTCATTGTCTTTGTCAGAGCACTCTCAATAAAAGCTGGTAGTTATTCCTCATATTGGCAGTTTAGAGTTTTCATACAGCAGAATGCACTGATATTTGTATATATCCATTTTGCTGAGATATTGTTCTGATATTCTGATGACAACTCTTGTCACAGGTTAGTTGCATTGATAGTTTATCTTGAAGAATAAGACCAAATTTATTATATATGCTGAATTTATTATTCAGATTTTTTGTGGGAGGGGGTAGGGGCGAGAGGATAGATGTCTGAAAAAATGACAGTGCTATTTGTCTGTATAACTTATTTATAGCAGTTTATTTTGCTTTTTGCTTATTTTCATTTTTTTGGTTAATCATAACATATGGTCTGTGACAAAGATCCAACGTTGAGTCATGTTTTGAGGTACACATGATAGCTAACCTCAAAAATGTACAGCTGTTGCGATATACACGTACCTTTATTTTATCATACTTAGTATATGTACATCGTATTTGCTGACAAACAGCAGGGAGATGGAATAGCTACAAAGTGGGCAGTAAAATTTTGACATTCAAAGTTCAAAGGGAGTGTTAGATGTATACGTAGTTACAGGGACAAGTAAAAGGAGGTTAAAAAGTAATGATGATAGAAAACTGCTTTCAGATTAAATATCTAGACGGAGACATTTCAGAATTAGAATTGAGCAAAGCCCTTTAGTTTTGGTCAAATGTAATCAGATTTATAAAGAGATGCTAGCAGACAGAAATGTAAAATGTCTTTTTAAGAAGAAGCCTCCTTTATAACTAACAGTTTATGGACCTATTGTTTATCACTGTATTAATTACCAAAATAATTATCAAGATAATAATTCTTTAAAGCAAGGATATTGGTGTTCAGAAATGAGTTAAGAAATGCATGTTATTGCATATAGGGTTGGCATGTGTTGTAGACATCACATAATTTAAGTACTTCATCTTTATTTGGCATCTTAGATTTGTAGTATCTGATTATAACCAAAGCTTGCATGGAGTAAACATGGGAGGGAAAGGGAGCCCCTTGAAGGCTGCTCCAACGTGACAAAATGCAGAAACCAAGTGGAAATTGAGGATGAATTGAGTGCGTTGGGTTAGGAGCGAAGAAGTCTACATTCAAGTGCTATCAGTGCTCTTTACACCTGCCAGACATGACATCATACATACCAGTCCAGGTGAACTCATTCTGTGTATCTCTTACCTATTTTCTCCACAGGCAGCTGAGGCGGAGACTACATATAAAGCTTGTGTTGTAGAAGCGAATACAAGACAGCAAGACCTTGAAAAGGGAAAGGTAGGTCTTGTGCTTGTTTTGAATTTTAAGAAATCTGCATTAAATATACTTTAAATAGTAAAACAGGTAATGACTTACTTTTGACCTTGTTAAATTATTATTTTCTTTTTTTTCTATAGATATTTGTTGAATGTTACTTTTTGTATTATAGGGAGAGATTCTAACTCAGATAAGGGAACTGATATACCAGTGTGATCAAACTATGAAAGCAGTAAGTAGAGAATCATTTTAATATTTTGCCATAATGACAACTAAAGCTGTAAATATCAATTTGCTATCTGATATGTTTAACACAGTGTAAATCAAGCCAACCTATTTCACAATAGCAGTAATAACACTTTGTTTTATGATGATATTTGACTTTGTGAATATTTGTTTGTAGCATAGTTCTTTTCGATACTGATGTCATCAAAGAAACCAATACAGCAGTAGTTTTATTCAAAAGTATTGATTATATTACCCATTATGATGATTTTGTATTTTTTTAAATTTGTCTTTTCAGGTCACAGTTGGCTACTTTCAGCTGCAACATACTCTGTCTGCACCAGCTCCTGTGCAGGTAGGCAGCCATACTTGTATTATGAGAATAAACCTTTACTTCCATTACACTAATAAGATGTTGTGATAACAGTTGAACTAACTTAGACCTGGAATATTCTTAAAATAAGAAACTAAATGACCACATTGTTTAATATGTGTACAAGGTAAATTTTTAAGCCAATGTTAAAGTCCCTTTTTAATCAGCTTAAGGATAATTTAGTCCAGTTTCAGGGGCAGATCCAGAGATATTTTTGAGAGTCTTCCAAATTATCTTTTTTGATCCATTCTCCATTTTTGATCCTCTTCCGACAGAAAAAACTAGATGCCCGTCAATGTAAACTTGAAAAATTCTGCCTGTCTTCTAGAAGACCCAGAAGATGGCCTCTATCCGCCCCTGATTTTACTTTGTTTGTGAGTCAAGTCTTAAAAATAGAGGTTAACTTAAGCAGCACCTTAATTGCCATTGAATGCAGGATTGTGGTATATTGATATTTTTCCTTGTTTTAGTACCAGACCCTGTGTGAGAGCTGTAGACAGTATGAACCAGGCACTAGGTATGCGGAGTTTGTCAAGAGGTTGCCAAACTCCAGCCATGCCAGAAGCACACAAGATGTGTTTGTGTTTGAACCTTATACTCCAGAGAGGTTAGATTGATGTTTTTTGTAACTTGTAATTTACTGTCCTGTTGTGCTGTAGTCAAAATGTTAATAAATGCATGGTAGACTTTTTATTAGAGTGTATTATAGTCAGTGAACATATTCACACAGAGACAAACTTAAACCTTAATAGATTAACTAATGTCACCAGGTGATGACCAATTGCAGAACCATGTCATGGAATATTTAAATCGGTTGACAGTTCCTTTGTCATTGTAGGTGGTCTTTTGGTTTGGGAATTTTGTAATGTTTGATGTAAGGAATATTTTTCAGGACCCTAATTATTGTGAGTTTTAATGTGAATCCTTTTAATGTTGTGTCCGCCTTTAAAACTTGTATATTATTTTCAATGAAGGTTTTTTGAACAACGGAAGAGAAGCAGTCAGTCTTCCTCAGAACAAACTCTTCCTGGTGAAGATGGCTTTTCCCCAGGCAAATACTCAGGTAAGTCCAGGTGTCTGTCACATCCACCTTGTGCTATACAGGTACAACTGTACAACAATTCACACCGAATTGAAACATAACTAATCCATTGTATTTATACTTCACCATAGCAGTGTTTTGTTAGTATAGGGTAAGATTCAAGAGGCAAAATGTATTCATATCAGAAAGTATGGTTTTGTGAGTTGTTAGAAATTAGGAAACTTTTAAAGAAATTAAATAAGTGATAAAATTTGGAAGAGATAATCAAAAATCACATGTGAAATTGATCTCATAAATAACACTTTGTAATAGCTGGAGATGAAACATTGCGATTCCTTTAGTAGGAAACTTAATGTGGACAAATATTTTTATATGGAGAGAATATTTACCCTGCCTGCTTTTAATAATTCCTCCTTGTGACATTTCTCAATTTACCATACCTTTGCTGTCACTGAAAATTTACACTTGCATCTGCCGTTGAGTTCTAGAAAAATAAACCTTGAAAACTCTTCCCATTATTCATCATACAGTCACAGGATATGTACATAAACACTGAAACTTTTTTTCCAGATAAATCTCGCACACCCCAGCCACTGAGAGCATGGGGTCAGCAAATACAAGGCAGTGACACGGAGAGTGCCAGTGGCGGGAGCAGCAAGTCACATGACTCCTCGCCATCTGCTAGTCCACATGATATGAGGAAGAAGATTGGTCTCAGCTCTTCCATGGATGAGTTGGCAGAAGATGACAAGGATATTGAATTGGAAAACAGTAAGTATTAATATTTATTTGCAAAGGGTTGTGAACAGGAAATAGGAATATCAAAAATGGTTGGTGAGCAGTGTTCAGCTGAATGTTACATTTGCCATTGAAAGTCACTAGCAGGACTTATGTTAGATTGTGTTTTTCATTAAAATGATTTTTTAGTTAGCACTGTATTTAACAAAATTAAGCCAAAAATGCTTCCTCTTGCAGGACTTTCCAGCAGTTTGAACATCACATCCTTCAAAGGCAGTGCATTATCTAAAGCAGCACAGACACATTCTTTTAGAAAACTGCGGTCGCCATCAAAATGTCGTGAGTGTGACAGCTATGTCTACTTCCAGGGAGCAGAGTGTGAAAAGGTGCGCATATATTCTAGTATTATCTGAATATAGTACATTTGAATTTGATGCAAATATTATTACTATACAGTATACCTATGTAGATATTCCAAGTCATGTTAAAGGAAAATAAAATTGGATGCATGTCTTAGTCCTCAGTATATTTTAGACAAATTTCTATATATTAAACAACAATTTGATCAATTCTTTTCAGTGTGGTCTCGCTAGTCATAAGAAGTGTCTTGAGATTCTCAGCAGTCCATGTGGCCATCGGTCAGTGGAGAGAAGGATGACCATGTTTGGTGTGGACTTCAATGACCACCTCCAGGAGACGCAGTCTGACATCCCCTGTGTGGTGGCCAAGTGTATCCTGGAGATTGACAAGAGGGGATTAGACACCAAGGTTATTTAACTGCTCTATCAACACATGCATGCATGTGTGTGCATACATGCACATGCACGAGCGCGTGCGCGCGCACACACACACACTACTTAATGCGTAGTGTTTTAAGGGCTACCAGCATTATGTGTCTGAAAAGCACAAATATCTGTCTTTTCCATGTTAATAACAAAAGAAGAACACCTGCAAAAACAAAGGATGTCAATACTAAAATGCATAGGTTAAGTGTTAATGTGTCGAGTTGTCAAACCTGTGTTTATTAGAGACGGTGCTTATATATCTTGTCATAAGAACTCTCATCATCTATAGAAGGTTTAAATGTCTTGGAACTAGTATTGATTTCTCAACAAAGATGGGTGCAGTTTGATTATATTCTAGTCGGATAGGCAAGAGAACATGAAAATTTAAGAAGATACAGAAAAATTAAATGTTTTTTGTGCTTTTTATGTGTTTTTTCTAAATCACAAACATGGTATTTTCAGGGTATTTACCGTGTGTCTGGTGTGAAATCGAAAGTGGAACGCTTGTGTCAAAGCTTTGAAAATGGTGCTGAAACAGTTGACCTCAGTGACCAGCATACTAATGTTATATCAAATGTACTCAAGCTTTATTTAAGACAAGTAAGTACGAGACAGTTTTATGTGTCAGAAGTATCGATTTGAATTTAATAGAGTTCAGAACATTTCTCTGATACAAGTAATTCTAGGTTATAGTCTTATAGATTAAAATCACAAATAAATGTATCACCTAGATTGACCCGAATTTCAATAATTTATACTAAAAAATTAAGCCCTCTTTGAATTTTTAACAAATTTTTGTTCAGTACACTGTGACAACAGTATTGCGTTTTTGTCATTGTAGCTCCCACAGCCACTCATCACCATAAGTTTATATCCTGAACTGATGAAACTGGCAAAGGTGAGTGCTATAGAGAGAATGAGCTTAATGGTAAATAGTCGAAGCTGTAACCCATAAAAGGAAAGTGCCTGTTATGTTACTTAAGAGGGATTTCTACTTTCTCTGTGTAGGATATTCATTGGCAAGGCTTCGTAAAATTATGTGTATACACTTTGTTTTGAACTGTTTACAAATAATGATATTTTAAAAATGCTAGGTTTTTAATTACAAATTACTTATTGGGAATATTATAATAGCTATTGAACAGTTTAATATCTTTCTCTATGAGATGTATTTTTCATGTTGTCAGGAAGAAACAGGGTCTTCTGGGGAGCCAGCTGACAAGATGGTTATACTACGACTTCGAGAACTAGTCACATGCCTGCCAAAAGCAAACTTTAAGACCCTCTCTGTCATATTACATCACTTGAAAAGGTACAAATGACCATATTGTTTCTAGAATATTTTGAAAACGTTATGGAACTACGTTTACCTGCACTTCTCTGAAGGTATAGGTTCATTTTGGAATTTGACAGATTATAGAAGAGCAAAAGTGGTAAAAATTTTCACATATTAACTAAGAGAAAAGAAAATTTCATTTATTGATATTTATATTTGTTATCCAGGGTATCTGATGAAGAGGAGTTGAACCAGATGTCATCAAGTAATTTGGGTATTGTGTTTGGACCGACTCTACTGCGGCCTAGTGAAGGGACAGCCTCTCTGAACTCATTAATGGACACTCCACACCAGAGCAGAATTATAGAACTTCTTATTGACAATGTTGAGGTAAGTGCTCAAAGCCACGAGGATGAGGGTCATGTTGTCATATATATCTGACATTTTCAAAGTTCCTAATAAAGATTTATATTAGTTGATCAATCTCGTTTATATGTGGGATATTAGTTTTTAACATGTTATTTTTAATAGAGAAGTGTCTTAGTAGTTAATTTTAAAAATTGTGTGTATCTTCATGTTGTAAAAGATAATTTATATTGCTGTTATTACAGGATATTTTTGGGGCGTCCCCACCCTTAACCAGTGAGACCCCAATAGAAAAGGTCAGGCTGGGGTCACAACATGAGGTCAAACTGGGGTCACCTGCCAGTGAGTAAAATTTACTAGGTTTAGGCCACATATAGCTTGCGTTGTGAGTAACATTAATTGAGAATTAACATCAAGTGGAATGATTTTACGAAGTGTCACGTTCACTTGACTCAAATTTTTCCTGCTTTTGTTGTATGATAGATAATAAAAAATTGTCCTCTTGCTTGCAGCGTCCTCTATAGATGGTGCCAGAGCCAACAGCACCAAGCAAACCAGGTAAGAAAGGTGTATAACATGTGGCAGAAAAAAGAGAATGGTCAGATTGTTTTATCTGTAGTCTAATCTTTTTACTCAGGAATACCAATTTACCCAACACATTCATATTCTAAGTGGATTTACTTGAACTATATATGCAATTTATCTTCTAATCTTGAGGTGGCTTACCTTTTAAGTTTAACTTGAACAAGCTGTAATCTGATGATGTACTTGGTATAAAATAATGTGCTCACTTCTTTGGAGTGTTCATGGTTTTTCTGTTAAAGTCACATTGAGCAGTTGAGATGAGAAAGAGTTTTATAGCTGATAAGTATAATTCAACTCTATATTGCAGAGCTGATGTATCAAGTGACAGCATAGAAGAATCATTTCTGCAATCCAAAGAGGGAAGTCAGAGGAAGGTAATTCAAAATGACATATATCAACAAGGCTATGTTTATATATAAAGAAAACACCATGCAATTTGCATAGTAATTGTTCTCTTCATCTGCTAACAAGATTTGACTTAATGCGCTCTTTAGAGCCAAGTCTCATCATGTTTGCAGTGTCTTTCTTTTATTTGTAGGAGAGTCTGAAGCACATATTGCTCCCTGGCAGTACAGAAATACAGAGTCCAAGAGAAAGTGTGGATGAAAATGAGAAAACAGAAAGTGAGGAAGAGTTAGCAACTGGTAAGAATATTGCATAAAGACTTACAATACACATAACATTTGGGCTGTTATTTAAACAGCAACTTGACATTTGAAAAGTATATTCCAAATAAGCTCTTGTGATTTTCTGTAAAATTATATGTTGCTTGCAAGATTTATCACATCAGTCAGCTTTGAATGCACCAAACAGTATCACTCTGACGATTAAGAACTTTGTTTTGCCAATATGATACTAATTTGTTGTCACTGTAAACTAATCAGCACTGGTAATAAGCAAGATATTTTATTAACAATTTTTCATGCTTAAGGCAGATGTTTTCTTTAAGTCAGAAAATAAATTAAACAAAATATTAAATTGTGCCCTTTATTGAATTACACATTGTTGAAGAGAATGATGATTATGGCGTAACATATCATTAATTGAAATATTAGAGGAGAAAATGTCTGCCTTTTAATCATGATTTTTACCATGCAGCATGTTAACTGCTGGCGTGCATTATTTTATTTTTTCACATCCATTAAATGATTTCAATTATTTTGATTAACTGCTGTTTGCATTATGACTACTAATGTTTGCATTTTATTTTGTTGTTGGATCTCTGCCATATATATTCCATGCACTACCTTTGTTCCTGTTCTAGGCCTTTCTGATTCATTAGCTCAAGATGTCATTGGTTACATGGACACTTTTTTTCACAACTGAGAGTCCAAGCCTGTTGGAAATTTTATATAAAAAAAGGGTCAGGCTATCATCATCAGTGTCATAATCCATTTAGCATGTGTATTTAATTTATTAAAGGGTTTAGGAAAGCTAACATGAAATTATTTTATTAAGCATGCCAATTTTTATTTAACTGCAAGACATTAGTTTTATAGTGTAGTACAGCTCCTCCTTAGTTCTTGGTGTACATTTTGACTTTGAAATTGTTTTAAAATCTTGCCCTCTGATTTTTATTTGACCCTCGGATTAAAGTCAGAAGTTTTAAAAAATTTTTAATTGAAGGTGTTGGTAAATTGATGTTTGGGTGCTGGAACTTCAGTGTTTATATTAGCTGGAAAGATACAAGTGAATCCTGAAATGCGTTTTTTTTATCCTTACATGCATGTTGATATATCAAATTATATTTTTCTATGCAACTTTGTAATTTATAACAGTGGCTACCTATGTCTGCAATCTTTCTTTAAAATCATCCCCGTCATTTCAAAGTTGACTTTGCCCGAGCTCTTGTACATAGTCAGAGATCTTAGATATAATTGGACCATGATTTGGAAGTGAAAAATCCATGGTATTTCCATAAACAGGAATATTGTACTTTTATGGAAATTTTATTTTTATTGCAAACTTTAAGTTTTTGACAATTTGATTGACCACTAAAATCATTTTAAAAATCACCTAAGAATAATATTTTGTTTTGCACTGAAATGACAAACTTGAAAATTGTAAATTGTAGAAACTCAAATGAAAAAAAAATTATTCTAGTTTACTTTAAATCTTCCATTACCATCCTTTTGTAGATATGTAGCCCCCTCAGGTAATTTCATTTCAATAGTACAGGCCAGTTGAATATGCATTTCCTTCCACAGTGACTTACAAGAAAACCCTAGCTTGTTGAATGGTGACTTATCACCCTCTCAAGACTCATTTCTTTGAATGTATAGATTGCATCAGCTGTGCTAGCTGCCCTACCTATTTTAGTATGAAATCCTTCCCACAGACCATGAACAAAGATAGAGCATGGAAAGTCCAATGGAGTTTTACTGCAGGATCTGTGTACTGTGTGCATTACACTGCATGTAAGATGTAATGATAATTTACAACATTTTGGGCCGTGATGACACATATTTGTTGTGAGATATCTTGATATTTTGATACTTAAAAAAATAAATAAAGACATTTACTGAATTAAATACTGATTAAAACAGATGTGTGTAATGCTTGGACACTTTGGAAAAAAAACCTGCAGTAAATCCACATGAATGACCTTGATCCTGCACCAGCTGCCATTAATTTCCCAGATCCAGATTGTTCCTTCACCACTGATTTGGAGTCAGATGATGAACTGCCTGACACCCTCCTACCCGACAGTTCTGCACCCTCCCCCACACCTCCCAAAGTGCACTCCCCCCTTGCACGTATTGCAGGTAGGAAGGAGAAGGGACAGCTGCTAGTATAAACAGCACAAGATCGATTTTTTTTTTTTAATATGTACCGGTATTGTAGATATCATGTGTTGTTGTTGTGGTTACAAGTGGGTTATGGGAAAATACTTGAGATTTCGAGGGTTTGGTGGGACTTCAGTCTTTCCTAGTTATAAATTTCATGCTCACAGACTATTTCAAGTCACCACCCACAAATGCATGCAATTATTCAATAACACTGATTAATTACTTACTCAAAAAAATCAATATCGAAGTTATATTGGGTATTGAATGAACATAAAGTGGCCGGGTTAACTACTGTTGTAATGTGTTTATTTTTGTTTTAGCAGTATAACTTTTCCCCACTACTCAAGTTTTCCCTCTTCCCACATTTCCCATGTCCGGCCATCTTTAGTGTACTGTACCCTTTGGCCCACAATATAAACCTGCATAACAGCATGTACAACCATGATTAATTTACTGCTTATGAATTTTTATCACTTTTTGAGTTTCCTGTTTAGCGCCTGTAGGCCTCATTATTATTTTCTGTTGTTTTGTAAAGATTGAAAATCTTATGTTAAATTTTTTAATCGTCCAATATGCACTTCTGTTTTGAATTGTAATGTAATAGCTGTAGAGGCATGTTGTGTGGTTTTGTTTTCATAACTTTGTTTTTATTTTATGTTGCTTACATGTAATCACTAGAATGCATACTTCAGTTTCTAATCCCTGTTTATCAGTAATAAATTAATGAATTCTCATGCACTGGTTCATCAAAATGAAGTTTCTCTTTTCACTTACACGTTCTGTTCATTTGTAGGTGTGTCATCCAGCTCCAAGTCCACCAAAGCTGTTTCAACAAGTGCATTACAGTTGGCTCAGACACAAACTCTCCCTACAAAGACACCTAGTATGTTATCAGCAGAGTCATTTGATTCACCAGGAGTGAAAACCCGCAGCACATCCTTGCAGATTGGCACAAAGGAGGCGTCGCAGGAAGATAAAAGGCGTTCTTTACCCTCTGATGTGCTAAGTAGCAGAGAGAGTTCTACTGGAAACCCCAACAGGTCATCATTGTTTATGGACCTAGGAGGGCCTATAGACTTTGGTCACCATCGTAATCTTTCTATTCAGACGGGGCGCATGTCGCCAGGGCAGTCAGGAAGTGTGTCCTCCTCAACTGGTGGAAAGCAGTCAGCCACTCAGGGCACTGGACGGAGCTTGCCTGCTGGCCAAGGCCGGCAATCCCCAGTGACCAGTGGTTCTTCCTCCAAGGGAAGCCAGGCCTTAATCCCTAGTCAGCGTAGTATCACAGACTCTTCCAGTAAAAGTCCCAGTAAACAGTCCCCAAGTATAAAGCAGCCCCTTCTTCCTACCACAGTGTACACAGTCCCACCAAACAGGGGCGCTGCCACCACCGTCACCACCACTAGCAAACCAAAGAGCAGTCCCTCTTCTTCTACCAAATTCTCCCCTTCATCAAGATCAGTGTTTTATGCCGGAGATATGGTGACAGAGGTACCAAGCAGATCCACTTTCTATGCACAAGAACTGGTTGATATTCCAGTGGAGCCTGAGCGAGGAATAGAACGGGGCACATCTGCCTATAGTTCGGGTAGCAGTAGTAATGGGTCTTCATCACCAGGTGGCGCTAAAGCCATCAAGAGAGAACCAAGATATGTTTGAATTATTTCAACATGTAGCGTTGAATAAGGATGAGACCACAGTTATGCAGTTGAAATTTTATTTTTGAAGTTTATTCCTTGTAGGAATAATTAAATTAAACAAGTGGTGGATATGTGTAAAAGCATGTTTAATTTTTGACTAAGTCACAGATAAAAAAAAATCTGGCCAAACTGAAGAGTTTGTTTGAAATAGCCACCATGTGGCTTCTGTGATTTGAGATGTCATATATGCTACATTAAGCAAATTGGCAATTAAGTTGTCAAGTATAAGGCAAGGAATCCAGGACTTGCCATTGGTGTTGTGTCATTTGCAGATTTTGTTTCTTGTTTGACTGAGATCCCAGTTTAGTGGCACTCTACTGAAGTAACAGTGTGTGGGATATGATTTTTGAAATGTTTCTTTGACTGAATTAGATTAAATTTGTAATTTTGCATAGATTTGATCTTTTATACTCTTCTGGATGTTAAAGAAAGACATCTTTTAAATGTAAAAGGGCATTGAAGGATTATTTTATCTGCCTTTTAATGTTAAATTCATTTACGGTTTTTGTTTGAATATATTTGCCGACAATAAGCCTTGTGAATGTGCTTGTTTCTTAGACGAAATTTTAAGAGATATGAAATTTCAAGCTTTGAACAAATGTATGAAAATTGATAACAATAAAATGGATTTCCTGCAAAATTTTATTTTTGCCAATACCAAGACAGGTTCTTATGTGGAAGTGAAGGCAATATGCTAAGCTTGAGCTGGTACAAATATTTCAAACAAATAAACATACAGCAATGGCATGTAAAAATTTCTTTTTCACAGAAATATCTGTCATTTGTGAAGAAACTGCATGGTCTGTTGTACAAATTAGACGTTAAGTTGAAATTATTGTCTCGTTGGAAAATTGATGAAGAACAGTGTTGTCAAAATAGATTTAAAGTACAAGTTAGATATTCTAATACAAGGCAAGTTTTGTCTATGATCTGCATAGGCAGTTTACATGTACCAAAGGCATCTAAGATAGAAACAGTATTAAGCTTGGAAGTTCACACAGTGGCTAGCTGGGTATTTCTTTTTGGTTTGGTATACCACACAGTGTAGGGCAGTATTAAACCGATACTTACAATTTTATATGCAAAGCATGATTGTGATGTAACTGTTTCTTTTTTACTGGTTGATATATAGATTACAATTGTTTTACATGCTGTTGCAATAAGTTATATTGTATATTTAGTGTATTCTCTACTACTGTCAATACTTTATTTACATGCACTGCGGTATATTCTGCGTGTGCATTGACTATTGCTGCAATAAATTTTACTATTATGATCTAGAAGAATCCTCAGTTTTGCTTGTTCCTTTATTGCCATTATCAAATCTATATCTAACGGAAAAGTTTAACGAGTTTAAGTTGGGCAGAATTTATGGCTTTAATGCTATGTCAGTATATGCAAAACTGCGATTTTATTAAATTTAATCAACAGTCACTTGTTCCCATGTGGAGACATTTAGAGAATTTAAAACGAAACACTGATTTTGAAAACGAAACGCGGCACAGATGTCCGATTTAGAGAAGTCATTTTGTTGAAGCTTTTACATTCACAACATTGATACAGATGTTTTCACCGTATACAAAGTGGTTGTGTTTTTAAAGAACTTCGACGTCCACTGCGTTCCCCTTTTATCACGCCTTTCTTGTATGACATTCAGTCAATCTATCAGCAGTTGATATATTGTTAATACACACAGATTTAGAATTTTGTTAAATTTTTAATCATCCAGTATGCACTTCTGTTTTGAATTGTAATGTAATAGCTGTAGAGGCATATCGCCAGTGCATATAAATCCCACAACCTTTATTCATAAAAGATAATGGAAAGTGTTGTCACCTTGACTGGGATTCATTTGTTACCAGTGACAATCAATGATCAATAATCCTTTGGACAGCGCACGACTTGTTGAAGTCCTAATTGAGCCACATGATCTACTGCGTGCAGATTTGATGAACTTGTATTAATTTGCACTGTGTCATGACCGATGAACCCAACGGGTATTATGGGGATTCCTCTAACTGGCCAAATTTGGGTGCAGATCTTCCTCACAGCGGCTTTAGCGATCATATGGTGCTCATTTCCAGGTAATATTTGCAAAAGAGATCACTATTCGCCTGATATATATATATATACGATAGGTCTTAGATAGAAGGGTAGGAGTCTAAGGAGAAATAAAAGAGAAAAGCATACTAGCCCACAAACAAACATATCGGAGAGTATATCGAGTGAAACAAAGAGCGTTTTCATTTTTCTAGTTGACTCAATTAAATGCTACGTGTGCGATGATAGACTGCCCCCGTCCAATGTGAGCAGCCGGCCCTCCAAGAACCAGTGTCAGGATGATTTCGACAGGGACGTCAACAGAGATAACGTGGAAGAATGCGAAAAGGGGTGTCTCAAAACGAAAACTGCACATGGCACCAGTAAGTCCTAGCAGGGGCTAGTACAGTGCGATTAGTAAAGAAAGCACAAGGCTTTCGAATAGATTTTCTTTGAAACCAGACTCATTTCAGATTAGAATGTGATTTAAATAAATGAGAAATATGTAACGTTTTAGAAAAATAGAATTGAAAAACGGGACCAATTTTAATACAGAAACACGGAAGTTCTCGTTTTATGGCCTTCAAGCTACTAATTAGCAATTGCTGAAACGTTTGACATATATCTTGCCATTGACCACATCTTTCTCATATTTTTCTGTAGTTCTGGTGGAGCGGTTTTGTTCAGTGATTGAACTACAAGTCGGTTGTCAGCGTGCGGTAATTCGAGGAGAACCTGGCAACGCCTGTTTCTGCAAGGACCGAGATCGGTGTAACCAGGCAGTGGCCATAAGGATGGGCCCTCTGGCGGGCTGGTTGCTCTGTATGGGTTATCTTATATTGGGATTGTGGCTTCGTGATGGCGGTAACTTAGATATAACCGAAATATTGAGGATGGCGATGTCAAAATAGAGAGAGAGTGACATATATATATATATATATATATATATATATATATATATATATATATATATATATATATATATATATATATTCCCTTAATTAGTGAGGCAAATGACAACCGAAATGATATGATGACCTAACTTTCATATAAACGTCATGATCTGCTCTTCTGTTATAAATCATCAGAGCGATTTGAATATAAACGTCATGATCTGCTCTTCTGTTATAAATCATCAGAGCGATTTGAGCAGAAAAAAGAAACTATTATGCTACTATAGCTCTTGTACATAAATCATTCTATGTGTCTTATTAATCATTTAGCGTCGACATAATTGTCAAGGTTGGCACTCACTGATCATTGCGTTCACCTGTAAAATACTAATAATGGCAACTGGCTACCCATCAAAAATATATGGTTTTCATTTAAAATATACCGTTTAATCGGATTTTGACGTAAAGAATACATCATGGTCATATCTCCAAGCCATTCAAAGCGTATCGTATCGATGTAATTACTTAATCAGATTTAGAATATCGGTCGACATCTCTCATAATTAGGGGCCCTTGTGCATGGTCTCGTATTTCAGTGTTTTTTAATTCGATTTATAATAATAAAGTATTCAAAACATGCCATTAGGTATCTAATTCCTTGCTAATACTCATTTGGGAAGAACTTTACATGACAGTTTTTAAACATAATTATTTGTTCCGTTTATGCTTGCTGATGTGCCATCGTTCACGACGGCGATAGCGAGTGTGACACTGAACCAATTGATATATTTTACCGCGCTTATGGGAATTAATGACAGTGGGACTATAAAATCTCCAACTGAAAAATTCTGAACTCAATTCCCACAGTAAGGATCCTAGTTACAGCACACTAAGGAAATGAGATGTGAAAATATGAACAATTAATGGACATTTTCATTAACGCTAATGAATGTTGGTGAACTCTTTCCGCTGACGATTCCCTTGACGATGCCTGATCCTGAACGCAATGCAATCATCGTCATATTCCCTGCAGAGTTCACATCATAGAAGACACAGATACTGCACAATGGGTATTGTGGCGGCTGTCTATTGCAGAAGCCACTTCAGGCGGAATTATTTTCAATTTTTAATGTCCAGTGAAATTATTTCTAACAATCATTCGATGAATTACGACGGGTTATCATTGAATTCGGCAATTACAACAATATCGCTTTCATTTCTTGACTTGAAGTTAATCTCAATAATATGATCTGCTTTAATTCAAAACGTAGATAAAAATGTTTTATCAAAGTATCAGAAAAATTATACTTTTTACGGGGGCGGATCCAGAACTATTTTCAGTCTACAGTCTCCCGACAGAAAAAATTAGATAACCGTCAATGTGAACTTGAAAATCTGACCGTCTTCCGGAAGACCCAGAAAACTGCCTCAACCCGCCCCCGTTTTTTCGTCATTTCACTCCAGGAGTTATACTGCATCTGTGGAGTTAATCTCAACTGCCGCAAAAACATCGCTTTCTCAGCAACCGCAATAACTCTTGCCGTCCGTTTGGTGCGGGTCAAAGCGATATGGAATCGAATTCCAATATCCTCCATAATCTAGGCACCGAGGCACTAGAGATCAAGCGTTCCAATTTACAAACCACTTTGCATTGATTTTCTTTTTATTAAAATCATCAGATTTCATCAGATTAAATCGCATATGGTGACGCCCGCGTCAACATCAATAGAAGCGTTGCAAGTCATTTAAGTGATACTCCTGGCCCATGCCTTATCTCATGGAATTGGACAGGAAACAGCGTATTACATGAATGTAATAAGGGTTCTGTTGCAGTCAAATACTTTACACAATTTTCCATTACATATTATACCCACAGAACTTTTTTAAATAATATTTCTATAAATTGTAATCACACATTCACAAGCACTGAAAGCTCGACTGTTTGTCAAGATGGTCAATAAGTACAAAATTAAAAACTGACATCTGAGCCTTGTTGATACTCCTGACCCCTATTTTCACTGTTCCATAGGTTATGGATGATTTCTCTAGAGATTCTTCCTGATAAAATTTATATTAGTCAGTCTTCACTTTTTGCACACCCATTTCTCCACAAATTGATTTATCATTCAATCATCTGGGTATTATGTTCTACAAAGGCTAATAATCCCAAAATTCCAAACACAGGCTTATGCCTTGCATCTTTGTTCTACATACTTGGTATGTAAGGGACTTATATACTGCATATATATCCAGTCAGACGGTGAGAACTTCACTTGGTGCATATTAATCTCAGTAGACTGTGTAATCATGACTTCTAATCCCAGCACCCCAATTATTTGGCACGGACTTCCTGCCCACCATTACTGAAATTGAAATTGAGGCCTGGATTCCTTTGATAACAAACTGTAATCATGCAGTCTGCTGAGATAACAGGCACTGTTTGACTGAGAATGCAGTCTTGGGTTACTCATTTCTCTCTTGTTTAGATACTGAGGTGGTCAGGCTCCCTACACTCCAGACATTGAGAGCTGTTCTGAGTTCCGACTGGCTCATCATAAGCAGAGCCTCTGATATGAAAATCATGGGATTTAATATATCTAAGCATTTTAACAAAAAAAAAGTTTTTTCTAAAGTCTGGTCATAGCTTGTCATAAGGCACCATGAGTCCTACTGTTCCCTTGGCTCTGTCTGGTTCATCATATGTTGACAGGCAGACATCAGGCACGCCCTCTGGTGACTGATCTACACTGAAGTCATAAACCTGCACTGTGCCTCTGTATCTACAAAATTCAATTGAGAAAAATTCTTCACAAATTTGTCTCTTCACAACTTGATGGAAAAGTATTTCGTCTTTTACTGCATCCCAATTGATTTTTTCTTATGAAAAGGGTTCAAAGATATCATACTTCAATTATATAATTTGGAAACAAGATTAAATGTATGCATTTTCAAAATGTGCAGATATCAAGTGGTGGAAGATGTCTGAAGTCCCAAATTTGGATGATAGCAATAATGTATTACCAGGTAAATATGTATTGGTAAAATTCAAATTCTATTTCTTACACATTTTAGAGATAGACGATATGTACATATGTACATCACACACATGTACACATGCATGCACAAACACACACATACACATACAGCATCCTCATACTGACCTCTTGTGTAAGATATTGTCCAACTCATAGTTCTCTGGAAACTTGTTGTTAGGAACATGTGCACTGACCAGGTGCTTGTCTGTAAATGCACAGTGTCTCACAGGGTGTCTGCAGAACAGAGTTATTAAAGATTTACATATATGATTTAATGACATCAAATTTTATGTGGAAAAATAGGAGTCTCACTAGAATATTGTTTGCTTTTTCTAAAATTTTTAATTCACGATTTCATTTAAGATTTAGCAAGAAAATATAAAATTTTTTTTAAAGTTCTGTAACAGAAATACACATCTAAAATATTAACATCTTGCCTATTATATATGTATATACAAGAGACATTGTGTATAGTAAGGCACAGGCAAAGGCAGACTTATGTAGGGCATTGCATGGACACAAGTGGCTGCACAGTATAACTCACCTGTTATGTACTTCCCATAGTTTGCTGCCCATTCTCTGGTCCCAAATACACACCAGTCCCTCTGCGCCACCTGACACCACTTTCCAGTCATCCATGTGCACCACTGTCACCGCAGCACCATGTCCACTAAAGGAGTGGACTGGATGCCTGGCACCAGCTCGGCTGTCGTATACTCGTACTCTGAAATAACAGGAGTCAGACTAGGTTTGAGCACTGGAATGGTCTCACCTTTATTTGAATTATTCTAACTGGTGTCCTCAAAAGAATTTTAGAATATTTTACAATCTTATAGGCCTAAACATGTTCATTTGCTTACCCTCTATTATGACTGCATTTGCATGGAAGACCTATACTGATACTGATATTGTATGTATGTATGTATGTATGTATGTATGTATGTATGTATGTACATGTATGTATGTATGTATGTATGTATGTATGTATGTATGCTTACCTTCTGTCATCACTGCCTGTACACAAAAGACCAATGTCAAACTGTGACATGTCAATGCATGACACTGCATTGCACTCTCCTTCAAGTACATACATTTCTTTACCAGTCATAAGGCTGTACAAATATATCTGAAAGAAACACAGTAAGTATTAATAATCAAAATGACCTCTCCTTGTTAATTGCTGACATAATTGGACAAATAAAACAATATATTTTCTTGTATTATGTTTAAACTCACCATAGCAATTCCAAGTGTTTCACAAAATCAAACTATTTAATTACGTTATTGAACTGAGCTGTCTGTTTTAACAGGTACAATTTCTCTATGCTTGATTGGTTTTTTTTTCATGGAAAGATGTAAATTATCATACATCTAAATCATTACCAAATCTTTCTTTTTTTTTTTTGTTTACCATGTTTCCATGTATAAAGGATCCATCAGTAAACTTCACAGACTGCTTAGTTCCAGATCTACTATATGTTAAAACACATGGTAGAAAACATCCCACAGCAAATACACCTCATTTGTAAATGTCAGTTACTGTGCTGTGCACTTCTATAAGGAACTTACATAAACAGAACAAAATACATTATGCCAAAATCACACAGGAAACATTTTCCCCGTCATATTTTTTCACCTTCACTTAACACAGAAAATATTTCCTAATTACGCATTCTATTTTTCACCTCCACTTTCCAAAAACAGCACAAACTAATGGATTATTCAGGTGGTTCTTAGGACAGCATTGTAATGAATATCGGCAATCAACCAGTAAACAACCAAGAGTACAAAGTCAACAGAGAAGAATGATAGGTAACAGAGTTAAAGTGCATTTGTAATTCATTTCTCAAAGCTGTAGTTTTTAACTAGGGGTGGTTAAGTTTGAATCATCTAAGGTGAAGTTTCACACAGTTAAAAAGCAGGTGTTTAAGTTGACAACATGAAAGACTGCATAAAATATTTATTTCACAATTTTTTTTAAATTTGGTTTCATGAAAGAGACAGAGAGTAAAGAGAGAGAGAGAGAGGAGGGAGAGAGAGAGAGTCTTCAAGGTGTTTCAGGTGACATTTTTGTGCAGAGGCAACATTTTTACAATGGAATCAAACCCTTCACCTTGCATATCTTTATCTGCCTGTATACCAACAATTACCAGATGTTAAAGATAAAAATGTCAACATGTTGCCTTTAAATCTGCATTATTTCATAAATAATTTGCTGTCTCCTTTGAAAAATGACATTCATTTAGCAATCACACATTATATCTTAAAACACATATTCTGTGATTGTTTTGCACATTTGGAAAATACCAATCAAAAGGGAAAATTAGCATTTTTTTGTAACTATTTTCTTCTGAAATTTGTGGGCTATGCAAATTTCACTGTCTCCATATGATGCAGGTACAGAAAATAGTAAAAAAAAAAGTCTCTTACTTATTGCAGTTATAAAGATACTTAACTGTAGTTGAACCCTTTCTGATCGAATCATATATTACTTTTTGTCTATAAACTTTTAAAATGTTATTCATGTCAAACAAAGTTTAATATGAAAAAAAATCTATTATTGAAAAAAAAAGCTATGAGCTTCATCACTTGACAAACAAATAACTAAATACAGATGATCACACAAAATTAGCCCTCGGACTGAGGTGAAAAAAATAACAAGTTGAACAGCTCACCTTCCCCCTGTACAGACTGATCCCAGCAGTAGTGTAGTCCAGGGCAGTGGTCACTCCACAGGCCACAGTAGTGGACATGGCATCCAGACATGTGACAGGGGCACCAAAGATGGAGTGGATACAGCTAGGGGCACCGTGTCCAGGAATATGAATCTTAACTGATTCCTTGGTTGTCATGACAACCATGTACTGGTCAGCGGGGCTGGACGTTTGGTGATTCTTGACTATTTGTAAACCAGATACCTGAATGATAGAAAACAGGACATTCAATACAGAAAAAACAAGTTTTCTTAATAGAGGTCATACCTGGGTTTTAATAACAAAATGGGTGTTCTGAACTTGCATGTTATCAGATTAATCATAACAGAAGGGTAAAAGTTTATTCTGACCAAAAACAAACATCTGATATTCATTACACTTAGCTTTACTTGAAATGTTAGGTTACTGGCAGTGCACTGAGTTCAGGCTGACAGAATTTGCTGACTGAGCACACTTATAATCATTGCACATACAGACATCTCACTTTTTTCCTTATCAGTATAAATTCCTGACAGTTTCATTAGATGAGCATGATAACACACTTCTTGTTGTAGGATATAAAGTATGACAAGTAACATAACTCACAACTTCTCCTGCATCCAGCTGCTCCAAACAGTGGAACTGGCCGCTGCTGTCCCCCTGCTCTAGCCTGAGAAAGGTTCCATAGGTGACAGCAGCTAAAGCAGAATCCTGGGCCAGTGAAACTGCTCTAACTGGTGCATTACAGTGAACAGAATGAACAGGGTGGCTATCTGAGCTATTCCTCCATATGTCTACATAACCTGAAATAGAACAGAAATGTGTGCTATCTGTGAACCATCCGTTTAGTATATAATATCAACAGTTATTCTTGTCCAAAATGGAACCAGAGGACTTATTAAGTTCTACTTTAGATGAAAAAAACCAAGGCTATAATTTATTGAAAATGGGATGGATATTTTCAAAATGTCACTATAAATATATATACAGATATTTTCAAAAAGGTAAACGTTATTATATAGTAAAAAAACTAACTGTAAGACAGAAATGCAAAAAATATGAGTTAGAAAAAAATACACATTGCTGAGCAATATGTTTTACTTTTTTTTTATCTTTTTCACAAAAATACAAGCTTGTTAGATTGTCAAATTCTTTCTAATATCTTGCTAACAACATATACATATAAAACAACAATTATGTGATATACACTTTGTGTACCTTGGTTAAAACCTGCTACAGTTATGGTATCATTGACAGCAACAGAAGTGATGTAATTTGTAATGGTGCCCATGTCTTCAGACTCATTCAAAACAAGAGATGTGTTTGATGGTTTAAAGACATATGTGTTCTCAGTAGAAAGATCTTGAAATTTCACATTTCCACTGGTGTACCTGAAATTTCACGCATATCAACAATATTAATTTCAAGAAAATGTTTACTTCCCACAAGTTTGTGACAGATATTAATGAAAGCCAGTGTTTCAATAATATAATCAGTTACGGTATCAGTTTTGACTTAAAGGAGAGCTAGGATGTTGATGGAATGAATCATGACACCCCTGACATAAAACAATATACATAGTACATGCAAGTTCCAGTAAGTGGTCTATACAAACATGACAATTTAGAAAGTTGATACCTTACCATAGAAATAAGTAGCTACATATAAATGTACTTTGTTTCTGTGCAATACACCACAAAATCCTATTAAGTATATAACATTATTCATGCTACATAATGTGTATTGTTTTTGTCTTATGTTCAATAAATTGGCTAATTAGCTTACCCTGCTACTATCGAGGTATGATATGTGTTTGCTGAACATAAAACTCCACCATGTATGTAGTCTACTGCATAACAATGCCCTAGTCTTTGCTGAAAGTTGAAAATACTATAATTATAGTAATGCTTTACAGCAATAAAAATGGGCTGTTTCCACATGCAATGCACAAACAAAAAAAAAAGGGAGTATTACAAAAAAAAACAAAACATATCTCAGTTCACCCCAAGAACAGTCATTGACTTGAAACAAGTAATGGTTGCATGGAATATGAAATTATACCTTAGCCTTGTTTTGTATATAAAAAAAGATATGAATATTATCACTGTATATTTGCACCAAATGTGTAATCTAATAAATTATTTATACTCAGGGGCTGTGTGGATTCATATCCTTACCCTCCAGTTCTCTTTAAGATGCAACTCATAAAGCACGCACTCCTTGGCGATTTGTTTCCAGCATTTCCTGTCTATAGTCTTACTGCTTGTTTCATAGCCATATCTGTGGCAAATTTTGCACCAAAGATGCTCATCTTCTGCTATACTCTTCCAGCTTCTGCTCACCTGTAGACAAATAAAACAAAATTTAAAAAATGATAACTATTCATATAATAGACAATTGAAAAAAAAAATTAAAAGCTTTGTGCTCAATATACATTAACACTGTAACTCAACTAAATGAAACTCAAATAAAGAAACTTTTTGTTAATGCATTTACTTCAAATCAATAAACCAATATATGACTATGTTCCCTTCAAAACAATTTACCATCAAAAAAAAAAAAATGATCTGATTTTAATTGCCTCACCTGTGCACATCTGCATAAATCTGTCAAACTAAGGTGCTGGAAAATATTCAAGGCTACTTCTCTGGACAAGTTGAGGTCAAAGAATGGAATCTCATTGATTTCATCCTGAAAAAAATTGCCTTATTCAATCTATGCTCAACCATTCTGGAATTATAATGGATTCTTTTTTTTTTTTTTTTTTTTTTTGCCTCAAGTTTGTTTTCTCCACCTTAAATGTAAGCATTACAGAGTAAAATGACAAAAGTAACAACTACGTTGTTTGCACTTCAGAATATATAAGTTGAAAAGTAAACAAACAACTGGGTTCTTACCAAATCTGCAAGCAGTCTGTCAAGAAATCGTTCTTTTGTTTTGTCTGTTCCTGTTTCTAATTTTGAGTTTTCCTCATTGGTCTCACACTTCCTGCGTTTAGAACTGGATAGATGTGAATCAATACTTGTATCACCCCATGTTTTTCCACGTAACAGATCGCCAGCAATCTGAAAAGGTCTTAAAGTACACGAAGTTCTTCCCTCGGATTTCGTGCCATCATCGGAGTTGATAAGTCTGTTCAACAAACTGAAATCTTCCTCTCGTTTACTGCTATTAGCCAATGGGTTATTTCGTGAATCACGGAGTCCAAGTGACCGTCTCAGTCCTCTCAATTCTGACCTTTCATTACAAGAACCAACACAATGCAAAGAGGATATACCTCTCTCACTCGAATTTTTACATAAGGCACTACACCCACTACCTGGGACTGGGATTTTAACAGTAGAATCCTTCGATTCCGACACTTGATTGTGAAGCTCAACCTTCTTTTCTATCTCTCTTTTCCACGACTCTCGGAATACTTTTAGGCTTGTTGGATCTCCCATCATTACAGCAGTCCAAAAACACAGAACAACTAATTTTAATAGTAAACAAACATAACACTTTCTGGAGTTATCATTCAAGACGTCTGTTATTGTTCTTCTTTGATAAAAGAGTTCTGCTCTTCCAAGATGGGCCAACATCGGGATTGCTGTTGATGCCAGCTGCATACTGTGTCCTATCAAGATGTTTTTTTTATCTTTACATAAACTGTGTGACTCACGGAACAAAGAAATTGAATTTGATGTTTTTAATTAAGAAAGTCAACTTAATTTTGCTGCATCAAGAAAATACATTGTCAACATTAACGTGAAGGAGCAGGCCTATTTTCATGAATGTGTGATTTCATTGATTTTCCACATGTCTGTGAGATGGTGATGGTGATGGTGTTTTGATTGGCAAAATATTAACAGCTACTAATAAGTGTAGTTTAAATCTGCATTTCTTTTGTCAGTTTTTAAATTTAAAGCCTATGAAAGGCATTTTTATGCTCAGTCTTTGAAACAGTCTGTCCTACGATGCAGACGGCTGCTATGGGCCCTAAATGAAAGTGATACGTAAATGTCACTGCGTTAATTAGAGGCACATCGTGCCTTACTTTGATTTGGAATTGAAATAAATGTCAAATATCTGTCTACAACGCATCACTAAATGCAATGTTGCGTGACTGGAAACATAGCGGCACGTCATTAAGTCCCATGATTCACATGTTCCGACTTGGACTAGTTATTGTTAATGAGGAGGGGGGGGGGGTGATATCCTTTTGTGCTTTCAACAACCGTCACCACAGCCACTGAGAACAATAAGCAACTAAATCCGGAGAACAGAGAGATCAATGCACTTGATGCATAACGATCGAGGTTTAAATTAAACAGATGGCCCGTAAAGAAGGGTCGCACCGGGATGGGTTGACCTAGCGTGGTGATGAACGGGCGCCTGCATATCGGGCATAATAAATGCTCATGTACGTTTATAATCAGCACCCCAAAAACCGCTCACACTGAAATTTCTACAGAAAGCATGAACGTGGATCATACCTCTTGTAATTTCGAAAAGTATAAAAAGAATTCTGACATTCGCTTTTTATCTTGTGAACGATATTTAACATTTTATTTATCAGTTATCTAACAGTCACAGTAAACATTGTACCATATCATTATTTTATTTGTTTTGTTTTCAATGCATTTCACTTACTTAGGTCAGCTACCTAATCGTATTTGTGACCACACCCTGTTCTGTTGCCAGGAAACAGCGTATTTTACTCCTCTCTCATATCACTGCACGGGGTAACGTGATACCACTACGTGTAGGCCTACTACATCAGTTAAAACATTTCCCAACATGTGAAACTGTTGAGAAACGCGGAATATAAGTGGTTGCACTCTCAATTCGGAAAGCAAGGACCTTGATTTCTTTATTTCTATTACTGATTCTAAACAGGTAGCCCGCGTGTTATCATAATTTACTTGTGGGAATTACATAACGAGTGATATATAGGCGTAACGTTATAGTTCAGGGAATACGCGTATAAACAAAACACCTGGTTATACATGCGAGACTGAATTAGAGACAGTTACCGTCTTAACAAAATAGCTGGCAATGGGGGTTTAGTTTGTAAACAGGTGGATTCAGAGGTGATTGGATTTTTTTATGTCAACATGCATGGCTTGATATGTTAAAAATAAATTACATCATCATGGTTTACCTGATATAACTAACGCAAATATATTCAGATACGTAGAATAAGTAACAAGGAGTGTGTATTGTGAAGCAGTATTTAACGGTTTCTCAATAGCCATTATAACAATTCTTTAATTAAAAAAATCTGCCTTATGCCATGCTATTTTTTTCAAGAAATCTCATTTTCTGAGTAACTCTATCTGTTGTAAAGTGCATTGGCAAAAGACGCACCCTGAGTGGGCATTTCACTCCAACGTTCCAACAAGGGGTTTTCTTAATTTGCGTAGCCTACAATAGCAATCAAAGATGTTTTAAAATTGGCGAGACATACAATACAAGTGTCCAGATTAAAAGACATATAATCATCTGTAGAATGAAAATAGTTTCAATGTGTGATGCTTTACACTAAGCACAGAACAACTGCAATTCTTACTTTGCAATTTCGTTTTAAAACTTACGGGTCGAGCACGCATCTTAATTTGAATTTATGAGTATACCGCGATTGAACTGGAATGATATCAATTTATGCGATATCAGGTCAGGTCTTTTCCCGTATCTCTACCTCGAGCAAGCAATGCCATATTTTTTAATTTATTGAATCAAAAATTACCACATAAAATTGTTTGATGGATTATATTTGATAAATAGATTGCTTCGTTTCTGTGTTTTTGCATCAAAGTGAAAATAACCTGTAATAAGGCATAAAAGGAAGGCAACTGGTTTTTTTTCATCCTTCTGAGAATGTTCATTTGAGTGTTTAGATGAAATGGGAATTACGCAGTGAAACCGCTTAGAGATCCCTGAAGTCAGTTATTCCATTTATCACTTAGTGTGATGCAACTGTCTGCCCTAAAATGATGAAAAAGCGTGATCTATCTATTGAATGCTATTGTTAACTTCATCTTCTCACCATTTGGGAGTTTTAATAGAAACTATTCGCTCATACAATGTGACGTTAATTTAACCAAGCGCAGCTAACTTTTTCAGACACCTTAAACAAACAGATAAAAAAAATATATGAAAAAGAAGAAAAAAATGAAATGTTGGAAAATGATGAAAAGACCAAAGAAGTCGCGCAACCTGTGGAACAATCTTCCAACAAAAGATTTGTAGGGCTATCAAGTTCTTTTCTTCCATATATGCTCACATGTACATAGCATTGTTTTTCCATGCAATTTCAAGTGCAAGGTACCATTGGAATATTGACCTTGCACTTTGATAAATGTACCTGATGTGATGATCAATCCGCACATTTCAAATTGCATTCGTCATCGATGAATGAAAAACACCAGCAACTCAACTAGCGATTTTGTCATTTTCTGGAAAAAAATTACCATGAAAGGAGGGACAGACACTGATAATTCAGTCTTGAAAGAAATGTCTTTTTGTATATTATAATACATAGTTTATTATAATACCAAATATCCCAACTTCATGAATGGTACAGGCCTATACTGGTTTTCAAGAGCGAGTTAATTAGCTGCTTTGCTTGTCAGTACCCATGGGTATGTGTGTGATTTTTTTGGCTCCAATACTCCAATACTCGATACTGGCAAATACTTGAATGCCTTAGTCCAAAGTGCATCACCAAGATATGAAGGAAAACTGTATAGCCTACATGATAGTTAATTCTACTTGAAATCTTATACGCGCGTTTTCAATGACTAGTAATCAACTACCATTCTTGAACACCCCACAAACAAAGCTCATTCGCAGTATATCGATCTACAGCTACATTGTTTCGTTGGTATGTCATCCAACGCTTTCCCCCCGAAACGCGTACCTAAAAGGAAGTCTTCCTGCTGTCAAACACCAAGGCAAAAGTAATCAATACAACGCTGTCGCATCGTCGTACGAAATAAAACACAGTTAGTGTCAATGCATTATGCATTTTTAAAGCCACTGATGGTGTTGTGGATTATAACATAGTCTATCGAATTGACTTGATTTATTGCCATTCAACTGTCTTGTTGAAGATCAGGGCGTATGTCGAGGATTATATTTTTGAACCGAAAAGCCAGCAGCAAAACAAAACGATAGATCAATTCCGAAAAAGGCTTCGTCCACTTCTGCAAAATGCCTTTTATTGCAGATTGATTAGCAAATAGACAGCTTAAATAAAATGTAAAGAAAGACGACGAACTAGACATCACAGATGTCAAGAAATTAATTAATTTGCAGCCGCTTAAAAGCATTACTAGATAGAGACTGGCACTACAAGACGACGGTTTTGATGCTTTAATCAAACGAATTGCCAGCAGAATATTGAAACAAAAGTAGGGCTGTCTTAACAGTAAATAAGGAGGCATTAATGTCACTGCTCTTTAAATATCACCATGATTAGATATGTTTTCAAACCTATACAGGTGTGCGTTGCTCTGAAATTTGTTTTCGATAAAGGCCATTAGACATGGCCAGGCTTCTACGTTTACCCAAGGCACCGTGAATCCATTGCTTGATATCTATTAGTATTCACTAATGCCTCAATCTATTCAAACAATAGTACATTTTTACGACAAAAAGCGTACTAGGTAGAGAGCCCCTAGAGGCGTTACCATTGTTTTTAATATTCAGCTTCCATGAAAACAACACAAGATGTCCATTTAGATATCATGGGCGCCCGTTCCCATGGAAATGTTTTAGCACCACCAAACACTTTTTCGGCCAAAATATGCTTGAAAGCGCTATTCTAGTAGTCTGAATAGCCACAATTTTATAGAAATGGTGACAGCCCCCCCCCCCAACCAATAGAATGCGGTTCATTGTTTTCTGGAAGGACCCACACTGTTGAACAAAAGGCCAAGAAAATGCCCGCTTTTGGGTCTTGCTAATAAGTTGGCATTTTTTCCTTTTTGATAAAGACTTTAGCAACTTCATTTTCAAACTTGATGTCTACTTGAAAATAAAGGCTATGTTTGTCAAACACTATTTAAAGATCGGCAATGACATACATGTATTAGTCATCTTGAATTGTGCAGGCTACATGTATACGTACATGTACATGTGTATATGGTGAATTGTATGCACATGACGTCGAAGGAGTGTATATGCATTGTACACTGTATTTTATACGCTGTTGGTAACATCGTGTCATATCATATCACTAAGGCAAACCTTCTAAGCCCTGTATTCCTTATGTGTCGGTCATTGGTGACTCAACATTGTTCGTTTTGACAATCCGTTATGATTGATTTTGACGTGGTTAATCCCTTTAACAGTACCAAAATAAGCCAAGAAAAAACATTAGTGTTATTTTCAGAATTCAGGCTTCCATGCACAATACAACGCCAAACATGATTGATATTTACATAAAACCATTTACGTATCCTAAAGCTCTCTTAAAATCGACGTTGGTCGTGTTACGGATTTTCCCCCAATTTCAAATCTATGTCGCACATTATACTGTATAGTTGGTATGTCGCAATGCCTGGATAATTGGTATTTACCTGTACATGTACATACTGTACAGGCCGACGTGAATATCAATATACATGTGTG